CAGCTCATCTTACGGATCGGGTAACCAAGTGCAGGGGAAAAGAGGCACGTGTCCCCTGGTCACCTGATGATAAGAACCAGACTTTCCTAGCATTTCTTCCATCATTTTTGACCTCATCAGCCTCCATCACTGAAAGTCAGTCTGAGATTTTGCTATACCTGTTAATGGTGAACATAATTTTGAGGCTGCCTGCTTAGACCCACACATAGACTCATTCACTGTGTGGTGTGTGTGTGTGTGTGTGTGTGTGTGTGTGTGTGTGAGAGAGAGAGAGAGAGAGAGAGAGAGAGAGAGAGAGAGGGAGAGAGAGATTTGCCTCCAGATTCACAAGCCTGACACATTTGGTTGAGATGAATGTTGTCCTTCAACATGAGAGTAGATGGATACATTTCTATACCTTGGTGAAAATGCTAGTTGTGTTGTACTGAGAAGCAGCGTATTTCCCTCATTTACTGTGTGTGTGGCATTGCCTGTGATGGCATCCAGGCCCAGTACAAGATCTTAAAGAGAAGCACCATGACCCACATCCACAGACAGTGCTCCGAGTAGGGGCCTGGCCCAGCTGCTCATGCTGCAAAGGCCTTAGAAACTTAAGTCTGGGATGTGCAGGCTGCTGTCTGCCACCATCCCCTCACCCCCAGTGGCATCCAGCGCCACATCTCAGTGCACCACACTCTAAGTCTAAGGGTCTGCCCTGGAGCACTTCCCAGAGATCCCAAAGCCTGGAATAGATTGTAAAATATAGGCCTTGAGCTTCCCTGGATTTTCAGCAGGCAAATTGCAGGGCCAGCATCCCATCACAGGTCACAGGCTTTCCTAATGCTTGACTTTTCCCAGATTCACTGAAAGTAGTTTTTACATTTATATAAAAAATAAACTTCTCTAACAAAGCTCTAACATTGCCGTTTCCTGGCGTATGTCGGGGAAGAGGCTTCACAGCTTGTCCATGTGTAGACGCCCCCCCGGCGCTTATTTCTAAGTAGGGGACTGGCACTTGTTGGCGATGTGGGGAGGTCTGAAGGGTCTGCCTGTTCCCCTGATAAGGCCTCGCCCTTTGTCAGCAATTAACACTGAGTCCCTGCTGAAAGGGACAAGGCCATCACCTAAATGGGCCAACCACAGTGCCATGGATGCCAGCTGGAGGAAGCCCACGTAGTCCAGTGATTAGCCCATGACTTTACCTACATGAGTTTTTATGACTCTTTGTGTTTGGAGTTTTATAAAAGCCCAATCGCCACCAGTGCAGCTTGATTTTTGTACTATCCTCGATCACTGGGCTGATATCCTGGAAGTGATTTGGTTGTATGTCAGCTTTTGAGCAGTTAATAAAGATCATCAGAATAGTAAACCAGCACTGGTAGGTAATAGACTTGTTTGGCTTTTTGGAACTTTTTGATTTGCGGATTTTTAAGTATATAACACCAAAATGTATACCAGTATATTTCAGTATGTCCTGAAACCACAGTACATACTTGAATGGTGAGTGGAAGTCAGGAGAGAGTTCTCAGTCTCAGCTGTATGCCCCAAGGCAAGTTGGCCAGTTCTCTCCTCCTGAGAAATCCAAGTTCGCTCGTGTACTCTCTCAGAGGCCCCTTCTGGTTCTAACGTTCTATGATTCTTCTGTCCTTATTTTTAAAACATAGATGAGATCCTATTGGGGCTAAAGGAAGGGAAAGTCATATCAATTTATTAACATTATAAAAAGAATGCCTAGTGGAAATGAAGGCTAAAATGTTTTAATTTTAATAAATGAGGTCTTTGTTATACCCACTGAGCCTGATCTTTTCAAATACTTTTGAAAAAGGGAATGCCCTCTGTCCGTGATAGGCGGTAAGTGGCTGGAGAAGACAGGCTGCCAGTGCCCTGTCAGAGCGTGTTTTCTCCACCCAGATTTAGGGGCTGGGTCAAGGTCTGTTTCCAGGACAAAATGAGGTCCCCAATTTCTAGCATAGGCGCTGTCCTCTTCCTTCTCCATCTGCCTCCTCTCCTCCTCAGCCCTGGCGGCATCTTTCTGGGCTATATTTATTTCTTATGTACCTGTGGCTCTTCATGCGTCAAACAACAATGACAGGAGAAGTTGCTATGCCTCCAATGGCAAAGTTAGACAATAACTCAGTTTAAGACAGAGAAGATGTAAACCAACAGTGATGGCCAAAGCTGATTCAGAGGTATGGAAGATTGCTCACACTAGACGCGTCTGTACAATGATGAAAGTGGCCAGGGCAAAGTGACCCTGGATTGGTTGCTTTGCTTCTGGGGAGCTCCAGGAGAGCTTTTCTGAGGTGATGGAGTTAACATGTGTGCGCCTCATGGATCATCCAGCCCTGGGGACCCAGCACTCTGCATGCCTCATGTCTTTCTTACCTTTTACAGACGAGGAAATGGAGAGGTGTACAGAAGTCAGGTCACAAACATGGGGTGAAACTTAGAACCTTAGAACCTGTGTACCTGCACCCAGCCATCATCCCAACCCAGCTAAAGGACGGAGTCAGCTCAGAGAGCAGGAGGACCCTGCCTCACCCTTAGTGGAGTCCTGGCACAGTGCTGTGAGACTATCTTCCCCTTTTTCTTGCCTTTTGGGGAGTTTGGTTTTATTTCTTGTTTTTCCCCACGGTTAGTCTAGGAAGCAACTAGAACATTTCATACACTAATAGTTGGCACAGAGCCAGAAATGCTAACTGATGACCCCATTCCCATAGGAAATATGTAATTTATCTGTTTCAATCAGATTGTTTCTAAAATGAAGCTTTAGGATTGAACTTCTGCAACTGTACCGATATCTGCATGAGACATGACTCCAAGATTAAAAAACCACAAAGACTTAGTCTGTTCAGAAGCTTGTTCTTTTGGAAATAATGACTGATGTTCCAACATGATTAATAGTGCAACTATGAGATAGCAAACTATTAAAGATGGAAACGATCCCCAAGATCGTGAAGTTCACACCACCATTTTAGAGACAGGAAAGTGAAGGCTCGAGAGAGGTGGCCCATTGCCCAGGAGACTCAGAAGACAGAACCAGCCTGCGGGCTGCCCGCGTCGTACTGCCCTCAACTCCTGGTCCCATCGGTCGCTGCAGTAACCACCAAGGAAGATGCTGCACAGCGCCGACTCCTGGTCCGATGTGAAAAGGGTCTCCCACTGTGATTTTCTTTGTTGGACTTTACAATCTCCTTGTCTTTCTGCTGAATCAGAGTGAAGAACAGTTGAGGAGAATTGCATGAACAGCTTCTTGTGTGTCTGTGTGTGTTGATGGAGTTTTTTTTTTTTTTTAAGGTTTTTCTGTGATTAGATTCAGGGTTTTTTGTTGTTTTTGTCCAGTTTTTGTTTGCTCTTGCATGAAATAATGAAAAAGTAAATCAAGGTTTGCAATTGGTTTCTTTTGACTTAGGAAAAAAGAAAATTACTCTGTGAGAGTACCAGCGATGTAATATGAGTCTGTAATTTTACTCACTTGGTCTTTACTTTTGACACCTTTGCCTCAGTGTTCCTGGGCATGGCTGTGGAGGCTCCTGTGCAGGCAGGCTCAGTTCCTTGGGTGCTCACAAGAGGAACAGATCAGGGATCTTCTTTGGTATCTTCAAAAAACTTACTTCTAAGTTTTTTGAGGATAGAGGTTCCACCACTATCCCTGCCATTATCTTCATGGAGTCTGGCATGAGCAAGGCAGGCAGGACACAGCCCCCTGTGCAGAGCTGCCTGATCCAGCTCCTTTCCCCCGAGCCTGGGCTGGGCCTTGGGATCTTCACCATAGCGCTTCCTGCCCACTTCCTGTATTTGCAGATGAAACTTGAGCCATCCTTGCTAAGGGGACCCACATGGGCAGAGTCCACGGGTCAAGCTTTACTGCTGATACTGTAAGGTCTATAAAAACAGTCACTAGGGTTCAAAGCCATGCCTCAGGAAAGAGGAAGTGTACGTGCATTCTCTTCGGTGGCTTCCTCTCTTACCTCTGCCCCCCAGCAGAATTAGTCATTCTTCACTCCAAAACGTCCTGCACAGACCCCTGAGGTAGCTCTTTTCACAGCTGATGGAAGTGAGGTGGAGGCTGCCTGCCTGTCACCCCTGCCCCAGGTGGTGCAGTGCTGGGTGTCCTCTTTGTGCCCACACCCTCTCCAGCATGCGTTCATGATGTTTATGGGGTTGAATTAAGTGGATGATAAAAGACACTCATGCACCAGATGGTGGCCGTGGGTGGCCCCTGGACCTCCACACACTAGTGGGTGCGTTTCCACATTTTCTCTACTGCCACTCACGACCCTGCCATGGAGAAGTGGGTCGGGCCCAGAGACCCCAGTCACACTGGGACCAGAGTCAACCTTGCTCTCTGCTCACCGGTTGACAAAAACCTTCTCCCACCAGTAAAACTGTGTAGTTCCTTGGCGCTCTAGTGCCAGCCTACTGGGTAAGCACTTTCTGCGTATTAGCTTCACAAGCTCAGCAGAACTTCAGCATCAGTATGATGCAAAAAAAATAGTTATTTAAAAAACGTTATGCATGGTACCTTCATACACTGCCTTCCCCGTTCACAATAACTCTTCTCCTTCAGCATATTTAAGATGATTGACTCATGAAATGTTAGGGTTATTCACAGATATTCTTTGTGCGCCTTTTGGGGCAAGCAAAGGTATACCCGTAAAGTACATTTTGGTGGCTTCTCAGTGTGATCCCAGAGATGAGGAGGATAAACTGGTGCCAGACCCTGCCACGGGATTTGCTTTGATCCCTTGGCTTCCTTTCTTGGGAAATGTCTGAGTGGATAGAATTTCCTCCTGGAGGGGGACTCTCTGCTTTCCCTACAGGCCATGGGTGCAGAGGCTCACCTGCGGTGGAGATGCCTGGCTCCCTGGCATTCCCATAACCCAGCCGAGCCCCTGAAGGCCCTAGTCGCCTTCCTCCCAGGTTCCTGAGGTCTGCCTGGTGGCAGAGCTCCCGCCTGGCCTGCTCCCTGGTGTGCAGCATGCCCTGTATGCTCTCTGAAGCCCGTCTTCCCCCCACAGCTAGCATGCCCACCAGTGAGACTGAGTCTGTGAACACAGAGAACGTAAGCGGCGAAGCCGAGACGCGAGGCTGCTGTGGAAGTCTCTGGTGAGTGTGGGGAGCACTCGCCCTCCCTCCCCTCCTGTTGTCTCAGAGAAGCAGGTGGCGAGGAAGACAGCCCAGGCTGCGGCAGAGTCCCGGGGCCATCGCCTTGAGTGTGGCATGGAGGAAGCCACCTCGTACCCCTCGGCATGCTTCCACCAATGCGAGGGCTATCCCCCCCCCCCCGACAACTGGCATTTCACATGCCTCTTCTTGTAAGTAGAGCCTGTGAAGAGTGTGGTGGTTAACCCGGCCGCCTGCTGTGTCCATTAGGTGCTGGTGGAGACGGAGAGGCGCGACCAAGGCGGGGCCCTCTGGGTGTCGGCGGTGGGGGTAAAGGCCTGATTCTCCTTCCAGCCTGGGTTTGGCATTTGTGCTTTTGAAGAAGAGCTTATGTGGCAGAGTTGCTGACTAGAATGTGCTACATATTTAAGTTTTCCTTTGCTCATGGGACCTTCCTAACCTCAGGCCTGGCGGTTGGATGACGAGGCCCTGCCTTCTCCGTGCCTGGCACTTTTTCCCTGGAGCCCTGGAGCCTCTCCTCATGATGGAAGGCGCCATTGCATTAACACTCACTGGCTTTTCTGTAGATGATTTGGGCTGCAGTCGCTGGCGGGGTCTGGGGGGACCAGCAGTGCAGAATGTGCTGGGCACTGCCTGCCATGGGGAGCCCTGTGTGGCTTGGTTTTGTTTGCTTCTTGCTGATATCCTTCAGGTCTTATCTCTGTAAAGTACAGGTGTCATTTTTAAGAGAACTCAACCTTTCTCTTGGCAGAGTTTCACAAAAATGATGTGTTATGGGCAGAATATGCAGCCATTTGTGTAGTGATTTTGCCTCCATTCTCTTGCTCTGCCCTCTCTGAGACACCATGAAGCAGACAGAGAATGGGTTTGTCATCCCCATCTTACGGATGAGAACGCTGAGGCCCAAGAAGACATGCTGCTTTCCCATACTCACCCAGTGGGAGAATGGCAGTACTGGGACTCCTTGTGCAGTGCTCCTTCTGCAGTAGTAGAACAAATGCTGCTGTCAAGATGAGTGGCAGGAGACACTCTGCCACCTTCATTTTGGCCCCTGCATCGCTGCCTGCTACCAGGGACTGCAGGGAATCTGGTTGAGTCTTCCCCGACCTGGGCTTTGAGGGTGCTCAGCCTGCTCCTGTGGCCCTGGCAGCACCCAGGCTTCTGCTCTGGCCTTGCCCCCGCCGGCCTGCTGTGGTAACCAGGGGCCTGTATGCATGGCTTTTATGATAGCCCAGCTGCAATGATGGGGAGCAGGTGCTCAAACCTTCAGAACCAGAGTCTTAACACTTTTTGTCTTTCTTTCAGTCAAGCCATCTCAAAATCCAAACTCAGGTCAGTATCTTCTTTCTTTCTTTGCTAGCTGGTGTGTTGCCTTTGTATGTTCTCACTTCTGAATTTTACATAGAATTGCTCTGGACTTGAGTTTTCCTCTATGGGTTATAACATTGGTACTGAATTGCAGTCAGTCAGTTGAATCCTGTGAGCCTGCCTTAGGGGACAGTGTAATAGGTGCTAAAGATCTCCCTCCAAACAAAACCAACAAGACCCAGTAAAGGTTTTTGCCTCCCCATTAATCCTCCTTGTTCTCTTGAGTCATTTCCCTAAGAGAGCTGCTGCTCGGAAGCATTCCAGAGAAAGGGAGATCAAGAAGTCTCCCAAGGTACTCACATTGCTTGATGTGCATGCAGGTTACATGCTCAGCTGATACAACTCATTGAACCATATACCTGTGATTTGTGTACTTTTCCATTGGTGTGCCATTTTTCAACAAAAACATTTTCCTACTGTATATAAACATTGACTTAAAATAGACAAGGACCTAAAGATAAAATACAAAATCATGAACATTCTAGAAGAAAACATAGGAGGAAGTGTTTGTGACCTTGAGTTAGGCAAAGGTTTCTTAAGATATAACACCCAGTATACTTTCTGTAACAGAAAAAAACAGATACATTGGTCTTCATGAAAATTAAACTTCTGTTCTTCAAAAGAAAATAAAAAGGAAAACTTCACTTAGAAATATTTGCAAAGCATATTTGATAAAGGACTGGTATCCTGTCTGTATAAAGATTAATACATAAATAAGAGAGTCAATAATAGAAAAACCCAATTAAAAAATGGGCAAGACATTTTAATAGGCATTTCACCAGAGAAAGGATGTGGATGGCAAATGAGCACATGAAATGACCATCAGTTGTTACAAAAACGCATGGTAAAATCACAGTTACCACTCTACACCTGTTAGAGTGGCTCAGCTTTAAATATCTGACAATGCCAAGGATGCTGAGTGGTGGGAACTTTCATACAATGCTGGTGGACTTGTCAGATGACATAGCCATTAAAAAAATAGGTAGTTCCTCATAAAGTTTAAACATATATTTACCGTATTTATATTTGGCCCAGCCATCCCACTTCTAAGGTGTTTGTATAAGAGAAATGAAGATATATGCCTGCATACAAAGTTTTAACATGAATGTTTATAGCGGTTTCATTCGTACTTACCCCAAGCTGGAAATAACGCAAATGTCCATCAAGTATGAATGGGTAGACACGCTGTGGTTCACCCATGTGATGGAATACTGCTTAGCAATAACGAGGAGATAACTACTGAGACTTGGAGCAATGCAGATGAATCTTGGTAGCATCTTTGCTAAGTGAAAGAAGCCAGTCTCAAAAGGCTACATAGTGTACAACTCTGCGTATATGACATTCCAAATAAAACAATAGGGACAGGGCAGATCAGTCCCTGTCTGGGGCAGGGGGTGAGGATGATGGGTTGACTACAGAGAGCCATGAGGGAACCTCTTTGAATGATAGAAATTTTCTGCATCTCAATTGTGTATACCTAAAAAGTATAAATTTTACCATATGTAAATTATATCTCAGTGAATCTGACTTTAAAAAGGCCAGGCATAGTAGCTCACACCTGTATTCCCAGCACTTTTGGAGGCCGAGCAGTAGGATCACTTGAGCCCTGAAGTTCATCACTTGCCTGGGTAACATAGTGAGACCTTGTCCCTACCCAACAAAACCAAACAATTAAAATGCCTTCCTGTTGCCAAGGTGGGCATAATGCCCCCATCACCTGGCTCTGCCTACCCTCAGCCTCATCCCTTGACCTTCCTCCCGTATGCCTATGTTGTAGCTAACCTGGGCTGCCTTAGTTTCAGAGTGCCACACGCTCTGTTTCTTCTTGCTCTGTCCCTGTGGCCCTGTGGTCTCCTTGGGGAGGAGTGCCCTTCCCCCTGCCCCCTGAGTAACTCTTACTCGTGGATCAAGACCCAGCCCAAATATCTACTTTTCAGAGAAGCCTTCCCTGACTCTTCCAAAGAGCATTTGTGGCTCCCTTCTCTTTGCTCCTGTACCCTGCACCCTGAGAATAGCACTTGGTGTGGATTTGCAGTCAGTATTTACAACAACCCTGTATGCTTTGCAGGACCAGGGACCCTGGAACCTTGCCTTCTTCATCTTCATCCACCCAGTGCCTGGCACAGAGTCAGTGCTCAGGAATTCTGGTCTCATGAAAGAACAGGCTGGGCCACTAGGCACTAAGAGCCCAGGAAGGGGCAAGATGGGGAGTGCTACAGGATTCCAGGGGATGGGACAGTGAGGCTTCTGGGTTTGAGAGACACTTGTGCCTTGTCACCACAGCATACAGCAGACCCACCAGGCCTGGGTCTTTTTCAGGCCACTTAGTTTCTGTGTGCTGAGTTAATGCATCCCAGGAGAAACCCAGCTGTGAGTGGGATAGTCTTTAGTGTCCTTAGTAGAGTTTTTCCACGCTACCCAACATGTTAGAAGCTGCTCTTTCCATTGGAAACTGCACAGGAAGAGCAGTAATAAAATGCACCTTGCGTGATCCAGGTTTTGGTAAAGAATTGGCACAACTCTCTGCTCGCTTCCTGGGTTGCAGATTTTTTTATTTTCTACCTAGCAACACAGCTGAGTCAGCCAGAGCTGCAGCTTGGGCAGCCTGGAGATTCCTCTTGACTCAGGCCCCCAGAGGAAGTGCCCCATTGTCGTCAGTGAGGCAGCACAGCCTGGAGAGGACTGACTTCACCAATCTGCTGGCCCTTTCCTGGGATCTGGGTCGCTGAGCTGCTGCTCATGGCATACTTTACAAAATCACCCCCCTGTGGCAGGGAAGGTTTTCCAGAAGCAGACAGGCTAAGGGAGAGAACATGTCCTCTAATCACAGACAGGAACTGAAGGTAGGTGGAGGACATGCTACTTGTCTGTTTGGCTCAGCTCATTTTATTTTTATGAAAACACGATTCAATATTGGCTCTTCTCCTAAAGGTATATTTTGAGCATCCCTAGTTAGAAAGGGCACCTGATGACTCAGTATGAAGTCTCATGTCCTACTCAGCTTTGACAACTCTGCCAGGCTGTGGAGGAACCTCAGAGATTTAAGAAAGGATTAGAATATTCCCTTTAAAAAAAAAAAAAAAAAAAAACTAGCTTTGTAGCACTTTGCTGCCTGGTAAATTATGGTGATTGAGATGCTGCAAGAGATATGTATAATAAGCGAAGCGGCTCTCTGCACTGATGCATGAGCAGATCCACGTCCCATATGGTGGATATAGGAACCACATATGTGTGCAAGTGCAGTTTTGCATCTGCACATGAATCTATGAATATCTAGATTTTCTAACCCACTTAAGGGCTGCATATGACAGATTCTGGAATTATCTATAAGCCATAAGGAAGGAAACTGATAGCATGATCAAGTCAAGATTATACTTTTAAAAGTTGCATTTTAAGACCAACATAATTTTTATTATGAGGTCTGTTAATTTCTGTGCCATTTGCTCTCATCTTTCTTTCCTGCACTCTCACCCCAATCTGGACCTCCAGAATGAAAGGCAAATTATTTCCCAATCATATTTGTTGGCTACTCAGATGCTGTATCTGTCATCTAGGGAGTAACATTTGCTTATCTTTCAGCCGCCGCTGGCGTCGCTGGAACCGATTCAATCGCAGAAGATGTAGGGCTGCCGTGAAGTCTGTCACGTTTTACTGGCTGGTTATCGTCCTGGTGTTTCTGAACACCTTAACCATTTCCTCTGAGCACTACAATCAGCCAGATTGGTTGACACAGATTCAAGGTACAAGCAGAGGCCACTCCTTTTTTGTTCTGAACTGGGGATTTCTGTGGCTGTCCAACTGCCATTTGGTCTTATCTGATCGCCATATGATGAAGTATTGGAACATTTCTAGTGAGGACAAACTTGGATGGTAGCACAATCCAGACACAGCAACTACCAGAGTGAGGGTGCTGTCCATGCTGCATGGTGAAGCACCTTGGAGCTGCCTGATGCCAGGCGTCTAATTGTCCTAACTCTGAGCCAACCTAAGACCAAGAATTCTTGGAGTTTGAAGGGAACTCATAATCCCTTCTCACATCCCCGTCGGGAAGCCTCACTTTCCCCTATAGTACTTCTGGCAAATGGTTTCGGTTCTCCTGCTTTGAATGCTCCAGCACTGGAGTGTGAGACTCTCATCCCCAGAGACAGCCCATTCTGGGTATGACAGTTTCGAGTCTTTAAAAAGTCCTTCCTTACATCCAGTCAAACCTGTTTCCTTCTACCTCTCCATCCTGCTTGGTAGTATTTTTTGCTGTTAGAAATGACATTGATAGGTGACTGCTTCTGATATCAAGATGACATAAACAAATTCGGACAGGTCTTTTTTTGTGTGATTGAATGAAAAAAATATATATAACCTGATGGTGTCAAGGCAGAATCGTAGGCTTTTAGGGCTGGAAGTTGTCAGGGATTAAGTGATGAGCTGCCCCTTCCCATTTTGTCATCAGTGACACTGAGTCCTGGAGAAATCAAGTAACTTCTCCAGGGTCACACACCTAGCTAGTGGCAGAAGCAGGACCAGAGCCTGGTGGAGAGACTATGCATGCGAAGGCCACGTTTCTGTCCTGGGTGAGGTAGTGAAGAGAGAGACAAGGTATTGGTGTATTTCCTGTGGGGCCTGATAGAGAGGGAGGCATGAGGGGCGAGAGTAGTCTGTCTTGCAGGAGACCCTGAGGATAGGTGCCCCTTTGTCTTTGCAGATATTGCCAACAAAGTCCTTTTGGCTCTGTTCACCTGTGAGATGCTGGTAAAAATGTACAGCTTGGGCCTCCAAGCATATTTTGTCTCTCTTTTCAACCGGTTTGATTGCTTCGTGGTGTGTGGTGGAATTACTGAGACCATCTTGGTGGAACTGGAGATCATGTCTCCCCTGGGGATCTCTGTGTTTCGGTGTGTGCGCCTCTTAAGAATCTTCAAAGTGACCAGGTAAGGAAACGTGGGTCCCCCTGGAAATGTTTTATGAACATGAGGCGGCGATCAGTCACGTCCCCAGGCAGGTGTTGTTCTGCTCTGTCTCGCATGGGTGTTCTGAGCTCACACCCTCATCTTGACTTATAGGCACTGGACTTCTCTGAGCAACTTAGTGGCATCCTTGTTAAACTCCATGAAGTCCATCGCTTCGCTGTTGCTTCTGCTTTTTCTCTTCATTATCATCTTTTCCTTGCTTGGGATGCAGCTATTTGGCGGCAAGTTTAATTTTGATGAAACGCAAACCAAGCGGAGCACCTTTGACAATTTCCCTCAAGCACTTCTCACAGTCTTCCAGGTGAGTTTTCCCTCCTTGTCCTGAAAAGCACGTTGTGAGCAGCAGCTAAAACTCCTCTGCCTTCTTGGGCACACACACTCAGGAAGACAAAAGGATTCCGTTTTTGTTCATCTCTGCCCTAATGATAGCCTGGTAAATTTTGTGCCATTTTAGTTATTTGTTCTGCATCATCCTCCAGCTATCTGCGTTATGTAATTTAATGTTTTGTTTTGTTTTTTGAGATGCAGTCTTACTCTGTCACCTAGGCTGGGGTACAGTGGTGGCGCAATCTCAGCTCACTGCAACCTCCACCACCTGGGTTCAAGTGATTCTCCCACCTCAGCCTCCTGAGTAGCTGGGATTATAGGCTCATGCCACCACACCCGGCTAATTTTTTGTATATTTTTTTAAGTACAGACGGAGTTTCACCATGTTAGCCAGAACGGTTTCAATCTCCTGACCTCAAGAACCGCCCACCTCAGCTTCCCAAAGTGCTGGGATTAGAGGCTTAAGCCACCGCGCCCAGCCCTTAGCCCTTAATTTTTTTTAAAAAAAAAAGACTTCTAGCCACATTACAAAATAATAAACCAAAAAACCCTTTTTTACACACACTCCTCCCAGAAAACTTTTTGATTGATTTTGTGAGGTTTCTTTGAAATAGACTCTAAAATTCTTCTGTTCTTTGCTAATTTTTGATGGCAGGCCAGTTTATAATCCTAGTTATAACAGATTACCCGAGAAGTGAATTCTCATGCCTCCATGCTGTGGTGTGTAGTTGGAGGAACGTGACAGCTGTCGGCCGCTTCTGTCCTCCTCCTGGGGTTCAGTGAGGATGCAGAGTCTGAGGGTGCCTGTACTGCGGGGCTGCTGCAGGCAGTGGCTGAGAAGGGAGCGGTGGTTGCAGAGAGGCACCGATGGCCCCGCTGCTCAAGGGGCAGCACACACTCCCCTGACTCTAAGCTGGGTGTTCAAAACCCTCCTCCTTGGACAGGGTCTGATGGATAAGTTTAAAACACCTACCTGTCCTCATTGCTTTTCCTGTGTGATGTGAGCTGCAGAGCCCTGCCAGAGAGGAAAGGCAGCAGACAGCTGGGCCCCATGCTAGCCCTTTCTATGCCCAGCTGCCTGCCATGGATGAGTCACTTACCCATTTCTGAAGAAATCCAGCAACCAAAGGGATTGGTCTGGACAATTCTTTCCCACTTGGTCATTTTGAGGTATATGTAATTACTGCTATAAGCCATAGTTTTGTTGTTTGAATTATACTTAAATTTTGGTTGCTAATTAGTCATTCTTTTTTAAAAGATTTTTTCTTTCGGAGAGACTGGTGTCTTTTTTTTTTTTTTTTTTTTTTGGTAATGTATGCATATGGCACAAAATTCTAATGTTACAAATGAATATTTTCCCAGCCAGTCACGAATTTCCACTTCTAGGAAGCAACCACCTTTAAACAGTTTCTTGTGAATTCTTAGATCTTCATTTTCTCATAGCTACAACTCAGTTAAGCTACCTATAGGTGACTTTCCACAGAGAGGAGCTCACTCCACGTGCTGTTTTGCATCTTGCTTTTATCACTTCAAATGTCCTCAGGAGCCTTCCTGCTTGGTTCACAAAAGGCTGCCCCTCCTTTGAAATGCTGCATCCGAGTGGTGGTACAGATGTGCCATTGTTCATGTGATGAGTCCCTTGCTGACAAGTATTGAGTTCTATCCAGTCTTGGCCCACAGAAACAGGGCTCCAGTAGGTGACAGTGAACACGCATCAGAGGACACATGTGTTGGCTGTCAGTCTGTGGGATAAACTCCTAGAAGTGGAACTGCTGCTTTAGAGGGTGTGTCCGTTTTAAACGTTGCCACCCTTGCCCAGGTGTTCTCCTTACGGTTGAATTAGCTCATCCTCCACCTGCAGTGCAGACACTGCCCATTGCTTCACTGCCTCTCTCTGCAGTGGGGAGCATGTTTTGGGTTGCCCATCAGATAGGTGAAAAAAGTGTCTCACTGTACTTTTAACAGATACTCCTCTTATTAGGAGTGAAGTTGAATGTCTGTCCATGTGACTCAGAGCCATCAATAGTGCCTTTTCTGTGAATTACATGATCTTTTCAATTCATTTGCCCATTTTTGTTTGGTTGTGATCCGTAACAGTTTAAATTTTAAAAATATCTAGTCTAGATTGAAGATAAAGGAGCTCTGCCTGTCGTTGGAAGATAGCATTTTTTTAATTACTGTTCTTATTCATCTATTTTATCATGGATTGAATTATCAAATATCAGTAGAGAAGATTAAATTTCAGGTCATTGGTGGTATCTACTCTTGAGGTGGTTTTGTAAATTTATGTGAGACGTTTAGAATTTCCTGCTTCTGTAATTTCATAGATGTAATTCTCCATTTCCACAGTTGTTGGGCTATGTGGAATGTTACAAAGCAGGTAAAAGAATGAGATGCGCTTTCTGACTCAGAGGGTCTCCAGAGCATGTTGTTGAATGAAAAAACAAGCCAGTTGCAGAAAACTGCATAGTATGACACCCTTTATGTCTGAAAACTCAGAGAAGACACCTAGTGCTTGTTTTCTTTGTATATAAACGTGTTTAAATCTGTAGGTGAAGGTTCAGAGAGACAAAGAGCATGCTTTCTGGGGAAGAGAATAAAACTGGGCCGGGGTGTAATCAAAAAGCACGTAAATCTTGGTCGGGCGCAGTGGCTCTCACCTGTTATCCCAGCACTGTGGGAGTCTGAGGTAGGAGGAACATTTGAGGTCAGGAGTTCAAGGCCAGCCTGGCCAACATGGTGAAACCCTATCTCTACTAAAAATATAAAAAGTAGATGGGTGTCGTGGCGGATGCCTGTAATCCCAGCTACTCAATAGGCTGGGGCAGGAGAATCACTTGAACCCCGGAGGCTGAAGTTGCAGTGAGCCGAGATCGAGCCACTGCACGCCAGCCTGGGGGACAAGAGTGAGACAACTTCTCAGAAAAAAGCACCTAAGTCTTAAATATAAGGTTTGGTTTTTTTCACTCACAGAATTAACCATCTATTTGTGTAATTAAAAAGCAATGTTTTAAAAATTTCATGGGATAACAAATGGATTTGTTCTGTGCAAACTGGACTGTGAAAGGCAGCTTAAACCAGATCTAGGCAGCCACCGAGGGGCTCTAAGAGAGTGACTGCAATTTGTGAATCCACCTGCTGGCTGATGCTAGTTTGGCTTCTCAGATCCTGACAGGCGAAGATTGGAATGCTGTGATGTACGACGGCATCATGGCTTATGGGGGCCCGTCCTCTTCAGGAATGATCGTCTGCATCTACTTCATCATCCTCTTCATTTGTGGTAACTGTATCCTTCAAGCTGACCTGGCTTCCTTGTTGCCTTCGTCATGTGTTTCTTTTTCTTGCTCTGGATTTCTCTGTGGGATGATGGTGGTAGTCGTTGTGGCAGGGAGGTGAATGCCTTTAGCTTATTAACTCAATATCTGCTTTTCTTCCACGTGGTGGGGGGACAGCGTCCTATAAGTAGAATTCCAGAGAGGCTTTGCAGAATGTGTTCTGGCTAAGAGAAGCAAGCCCAGGAAAGGAGCATGAGACAGCACATGTACTGGTACCAGAGGTTACTCAGTTTTTCTCATGTCTCCTGTACAGGTCCTGAGGGATGGCTGAGAGGAAGGCCAGGTGGTTCTTTATGTTATCATTCTTGGGAGCTTGGGCGTCCAACTGTGACTTCCTAAGAGCCTTCGTGACTGATGGGAGCCATCTCTGTGAACTGACCTGTGCTCCCTTGGGCTGATTTCACTTTGCTGATCTGTCCATCTTTGGGGATCAAGTGTCTATTGGCTAGTTGCAAAATCATGCTACGTAACCTCTCTCTGACTTACTTCACTCCTTTTTCCTGCCAAAAGGCACTCTCTAATCCTAGACTTCTGGCATTGGCCCTTGGATCTGTATTTACCTCTTTCAGGCCCTTCCTGGTCCTGTAGCCTTTAGTTCTCTGTGTTTTATCTCCAGGTCCTCCATGCCTAGCACCAGACCTGGCACACAGAGGCTTTAGTGAATGCTTGATGAATGAACGGCATACACACATGATACTACATCTGGGTCTTCTCCCTTCCATTTTAAAAGGTCCTAATCTAGATTCTTCTAAGGGGTCCCAGATCTCTGTAGGTGTTTTCTCCTTTATCTTGTCTGGCTCATCGATGAATTTTCTTCAGTGTGGCAACTTCAGTACAAGGTCAGTGCTTTGTGCTATAAGGTATTTTATGAAAACCCCATATCAACACATATACATCCTCCTAATCCCTTGAGTTGGCTCTAAGGCCCCATCCGCCAGAGTCACCCTTACCCTGTCTCCCACCCAGAGAAGGTTCTTCTACCTCTGAGGTCCCCTCAGATTTTATCCACGTGTATCTTACCACCTGTAAGTTCTTCTATCTACTGGATTTTTTTTTTTTTTTTTTTTTTTTTTTTTTTTTTTGAGATGGAGTCTCACTCTGTCGCCAGGCTGGAGTGCAGTGGTGTGATTTCAACTCACTGCAATCTCCACCTCCTGGATTCAGGCGATTCTCCTGCCTCAGCCTCCCAAGTAACCAGGGATTACAGGCACGTACCACCATGCCTGGCTAACTTATATTTTAGTAGAGATAGGGTTTCATCATGTTAACCAGGCTGGTCTCAAACTCCTGACCTCAGGGGATCCGCCCGCATCAGCCTCCCAAAGTGCTGGGATTACAGGTGTGAGTCATAGTGCCCAGCCTGTCTACTGGAATTTTGAGTGGGCATTTCTCCAGCTCCTTAGCTAGATGATACACTTCTTGGGTCAGGAATCTTTTTGGTATTCACATCTCTCAATAGAGTACAGGATCTTGCAAATAGCTGGCTCTTGGTAAATGAATGGTCATTATTTTCTTTTTCTGCTGTCCTCATGGTTGACTCTTCAGGCCACAGCAGCATCCTGGACTGACGTCTGTGGAGAAGTATCCCCTGGGGCTTCTCTGTGGTTGCATATTGTTTTCTTTGTAGCACATGTCACTGTATCAGAGGTGCTTAGGGAGTGGCTTACGTTCTGTCTTCCCCAACTAGAATAGATATTCCAGTGTGCCCCCAGCACGCACAATAGTGCCTGGCACATTGGAGGTGCTTGGTAGATCTTTTTGGATGAATTCCAGAGCATGCCACTCTTTAGGCAGGTCTAAGTAGTGCCTGTAAATGCACATGATGGATTTTTCTCTGGGAGGTTGGTTGTTACAAGCTTGTAAGATCTTGCTGTGGCTCATCACTCTGGATTTGCTTTCCACTACCCAGAGGAGTTGAGAGTCATTGCAAGAGTAGAGAGATGATTGTTTCTTTGCTGAGATCGTGGAGGGAGTACTCAGTACAGCTAGTCTCAGCACTAGCCCTTGTCTGAACTACCATTACCCCATGCCCAGCAGAGAAATGCTCACGTTACCAAGCCGTCTCTGGCCCAGGACAGATTGCTTCCTCAGGCTCATTGCAGCTCCAGTTACAAAAGAGACCAGCATGTCAAAGGCTCTTCGAGTCTTAATGTAACTCACTCATGTTTCTCTCCTGTTTAAAGCCTTGAATGATTAGCGAGGCCTGCAATTCCCTCACAGAGAACTCATCTGTTCCTTGTTAGCTTATGTTGGTTTACGTGTTCAGCAACCCATCCGAAACAACAGACTCCACAGGGTGTGTGGGACAGTGCTGTGCTGTTCCTGTCTCGGGTCTCTGGGCTTCTGCAGTTTTGCCTACAGATGGCCAGGCATCAGGCAGAGAGAAGCATTCATCACAGAAGGGATCCTTCTCACTTACTGCCCTCTCATCTCTGTGCTTCTCAAAAACACTTCACTGCTAGTGAGTGAGAAACAGGCATCTTCTGATTTGGGGGCCTTGTTCAGAGTACTTGTTAAAAACAAAAACATTCAGGAAAACCTGGATACAATGTTCCAGTAAGAGCGAAGAAACACAATAATGTGTTCAATCACCTAGCCTTTTGTGTTTTTTAACTGGAGCTGCAGGGAGCCTCAGGAAGCAGTTTGTCCCGGACTGGAGATGGTAAAAATCAAGTTCAGGCACAGTGATCAGAGACCGAGCTGCAGTGAAACTACTCCCAGCAGCCCAGCACCAGCTGTCAGTGAGTCAGGCACACTGTAGGCAGTCAGTGTTTGTGCAGTGAAGGAATGAATGAGTTATCTGCAGACTCCGAAGGTTATTTCAGAGGAGGAAGTCTCATACTGTCTCATGCAACCGGATCATCATTTGAATCACTTGCAACCTTTGAAGCGATCTATTTTGGAAAACACTCCCCTGAAGATGTATGTTGCAGTTGTAGTGTGTGTTTAAAAAAAAAAGAAAAACACCCAAACTACTTTTTAATTATACCGTGTTTATGTTATAGATTGTTTTATATAATGTATAGCATAGCTATAGATATGTAGACCTATGGACACACACACACAGAAATGTTGAAGTTAGTAGGTTTTCATGGGTTTTACTGAATCTTAATTTTACTTCTTCTGTCGACTGTCCTTTTACAGGTTTTTAAGGTTTTTTTGTTTTGTTTTAAGCAGGGCTCTGGTACTCTGGTTTTGCTGTGTAAATATAGCACTCGGGACAGTCACTTGCTACCAGCCTTCCAGGATGCAGAGGGGTGTGGCTTTGCCATTGTTGGCCAAATGTAGTCACATTTAGAAGCGTGTTGTGCCCTTAAACGGTTCAAATTAGATATTCTACTGAACGTCTTCTTGGCCATTGCTGTAGACAATTTGGCTGATGCTGAAAGTTTGAACACTGCTCAGAAAGAAGAAGCAGAAGAAAAGGAAAGAAAAAAGATTGCCAGGTAACCCCATTTTCCCCTCAGGTATTTGTCTAGGGGCTGTATGGGGAGCCCTGCCACTGGTGCAGCCTGCCAGGACCACCCCTGCCTCACTGCAGCTGCAGCCCCCCAGCTTGCTGCTTGTGGATCATGGTTGACTGTGCACTGCAGATCAAAATGGATGGAATCTTGGGCAGAAGCCAGGCCCTTGGCTCCCATCCCTCAGATCCAAAAGTGGGAGTCACGTGTCCCCATGCTTAAAGAATCACTGCAGATAATTTTGGCGTCATAAAATAAATGATGCATTCAATGCTGATTAGCTCTCAGATGAGAATTTTAATAAGATGATCTGTGTAATGAATCCATCACATTGCGATTACCAGGAAGCTCTGAGTTTGGGTTGTGCTATGCTGTTGTGGTTAGTGTTGTTTCTAATTAAATTCTGTCCTTCATGGGAGCATTGTTGATTCAGAATCCTGATTAGCATTTTTATGCAGAGGAACATGGTTATTTGGTTTCTTGTGGTCTTTTCTCTTCTCTTTAGAAAAGAGAGCCTAGAAAATAAAAAGAACAAACCAGAAGTCAATCAGATAGCCAACAGTGACAACAAGGTATGCATTCTGAGATACTTCTCGCCTTTTTGTTTCAAAAGGATTCTGTTGGTATCTCCATACATGTACCATTTACACTGCAGAAGTGCTTGTGTATCATACTTGTGATATTTTGGTGTGAAGAATATAGCACACCGTATAGACCCTGGCTTCCCAGGGGGGTTCTGGTTGAATTTAGGCAGTTAGCTGTGTTCACTGATATTTCACCAGAAAACCGATATGATAAAGATTTGACTAGTTTGACCACTTATTTTTTCTTTATTGGAATTGTGCAATCAGATCTGACCCATGGTCAGGATCATATTAGCATCTTCTGAGTGGGTATGAACATCAGGGATTTTTAATAGATGTATATTTCCAGAGGTAATCCCATTCTCAGGTGGCCTCAGGGCTATGCTGTCAAACTTGATCCCATTTATGACAGCTCTGGTTGTTGTGTTCCTTTTTTATTCATCGAGTTGATAAATGCTTACCGAGTGGCTATTGTGTGTCAGACACTGGGGATTCAGAAATGAAGAAGACAGGCCCCTGCCTTCATGGGCCTTGCAGTCTGGCAGGAAGGCAGGAGTGTGAGATGTATTATCATGCCGTATGAGTGACTGTGCTGGCACACGGCAAAGACAGAGCCCTGGACAGTGCTGGCTAATCACAACTGGGTCAGGGTTCAACCAGCCTTCTCCTCACCTGCCCTCTGGCATTCTGTCTGTAGCAGAATCACCATCTGGGGACATATGCCTATCCCTGCACACTCACATACAGGCGCAACTTTGGGGAGGAATCCATGCCCTATGCTGGACTGCCAGGGCGACTTTTCCTCTCTGAAGTGCATTTAAGTCCAAGTCTCCCCTCCTCCCAAGATGTCTCTGTCATCCCAGGTTACAATTGATGACTATAGAGAAGAGGATGAAGACAAGGACCCCTACCCACCTTGCGATGTGCCAGGTATGGTGGCGGAGGCTGGAGACACTGGCTTTGCTGTGTGTGGCTTTGCTACTGCTCTGTGGCCAGCTGCTGAGTCTGCAGCCAGCCAGCCCAGCACTGTGCACATGAGCTGCTGAGGCCACCAAGGCCATGGGACCAGTTAGCTCCCCTTTTTCCCATGGTCGAAGGCAGCATGTGTCACCCAAATTCCAGGTGATGGGGAGGGCAAGTGCAGGTGGGTCAGGGCAGTCCCAGTTTCTGCTGGGAGACTGGTCCAGGAGGCCCCCCAGGTGTTAGCACTCAGCTGACACTTTTACATTTGACTGGCACATTTATTGGCTAATGTGGGTGGGACTGTGGAGTTGGGAGCCTAGGAGCTGATTGAGACTGAAAGTCCCGTGTAGTTTCTCAGGCCAAGCTGAGCGAGGAGGTTACTGGGGAAACAGCCAGGAGCTAGGAGGTTCACAGTGAGAATCCCAGCACCACCACCTTTCATCTGTGGTCAGATCTTACCCTGGTGAGAATCTCATTCCCACAAACTAAACACACTCATCAGATGGGGACATTTCTTAGCATGCTCCCTCCTCCCCTCAGACGTTGTTAAAGTTCAAGCCAAATTTGCATGTGAAATTGAGAGTAATTCAAACCCATATGTAGTCTTTATTTCATGCCTATGAAAAGAGTATTTCATTTAAAGTAGGGGAAGAGGAAGAGGAAGAGGAGGAGGATGAACCTGAGGTTCCTGCCGGACCCCGTCCTCGAAGGATCTCGGAGTTGAACATGAAGGAAAAAATTGCCCCCATCCCCGAAGGGAGCGCTTTCTTCATTCTTAGCAAGACCAACCCGTAAATACTCCCCTTCTAGCCTCTCGCGGCTGCCCCTTGCCAGTGACCCTACAGGTCGCTTGAGGGTGGCTCGGGTGGGGGTGAGGGGAAGTGGTTCACAGCCCTTTCTGAACCTGAGTGTCCCTGGCACCCCACCACCTAAGTCCCCTCCAACCCCTCTCTCCTCCACTGTTGCTCTTGCCCTCAGCTCATCTCTTCCTCATCGCCTCCTTCCCGCAGGGTGTGGCCAGGTCCTGGGAGGAGCTCCATTCTAGATTCTCCTCCCTGCCTTCACCCCTGCACAGGGACAGCAATGGGGAAAGCCTTGTCCACGGCAGCATATGCCAGTGGGAGCCCACTGCTCTGCTGTTCCATGCTTCGGCCACACATGGGAGTTTTTCTTAACAAGTGGATCTTCTGTTAGGATGCTTTGCAGGATGAGAATTTTTGTGACCAAGTTCTGCATAGCATCCTCAACCTCACAGACCTCCCCACTTCATTGATCCGTTTTCCCTATTGAATTTTATAATCATAAATTCATATTGCACAGTGATATTTCATAGGTTGTAAATATTCAGTTCAGCTCTATGATAGTCTACTTAAAATAGCATTTCTTATGTTAAAATGATAAGGTGCTCACAAGGAACAGGGTAATGACTCACACATACTATAAGAGGAAGAAGTTTATTTACTAGCTAGTTTCTAGGTTTTAAATCATCTGGGGCTGAGTGGAATGCCAGGGGGAATAAATGGCTCCTGGAAAGGTTTCTAGAATTGCAGAAGTAGTTCTTGGCTGTCAGAGAACAACTCTGTGTAATTCACTGGCCCTAGGGAGACACAGGTGGGAAGCAAGGCCTAGTGGTGTCCTCAGAGATACAAAGATGTGATGATAGCTTTTACAGCTCACCACTGTTTGGGTGTCCTTTTTTAAAAAAAAAAAAAAAAAGTTATTAAACTGATATTGCTGACACCTACACCCTTATGTATATATATGTTGAGAAAATGGATTTATTTTCACCCAAAGCCACAAAGCACTCCTACCTTCACTAGCTTGGAAGTTCTCCCCACACTCAACTGCTAACCACCTTCAGGTCCTCTGGGGGTATGCCCAGCATTAAGTAGGTCCAAAAGGGAGGACAGGAAGTGAGGCTTAAGCATGTCAACATAGAGTTGACTCTAGTATTGAAAGTGGAAAAATCTTTTCAAAGGAAAACCTCTCTGTATAAGAGGCTTATAGAATATAGGAATATAGATAGGTGTGTATATACACACACACACACACACACACACATATCACACTTTGGAATTTAAACATATACATACATATTCTATATATATACACATATGTACATATATATACTTTAGAATTTATACATATTTAATATATACATATATACACATATACATATTACATATGTATATGTGTATATATACATGTATATGTATGTATATGTTTAAATTGTAAAGTCAAACATCGAGGGTAAGGATAGTCAGTTGCTAACAGGTGCAGGGCACACTGAGGACAGCAGTGAGGTTCTGATGGCCCATCGTTTGAGCCCAGGTGTCGGGCATGAGCTGTCCCCCTTTGCTTCACAAGACCACAGGACTTGGTGAGAACTGTCATGCTGGGCCATGAGATCCTTGTGTGTTCACAGCCTTCACTTTCTGAGGGCTGCTTGTGGGTCATCTCCAAAATTTTAAAAAATAACATCTATTACAGAATCTGCAGATAGGACAAGCACAGGATTCATCTCATTCTGCGTGAACTGTCAAGGGCAGGTCTGGCCTCAGTTTACCCTCTTGGTCAGGGAGGATAAGCAGACGAGCTTCCTGTCATGGTGGAAAAACTTCAGTCATATAGACCTGGATCACGTCTCCCCCTGGTCCTTACTAGTGTCACTTTAGAATTCTCTTAGTAAGCCTCAGTTTCCCCATCTTTAGGAAGACAAGCTCCACTTTGAAGAACTCAGTAGAGTGGTCTGTGTGGCACCCCCAGCACAGAGTTGACACACCATGCATAGTCCAAAGGGGCTGCTCTTGGTGGGCTTCATGGGGCTGATGGACAGGTCGCTCAGGTGTGCCAGGCAGGGTGCATGGGTGGCACAGCAGGCAGCTGCCCTCTGCCTGGCATCCTGATGCAGTGGCCCCACACTCTTAAGGACACAGTGCGTTCCACTCCATCTGGGACCGTTTCCAAGCAGCGGCTTTTCCCTGCAGGATCCGCGTGGGCTGCCACAAGCTCATCAACCACCACATCTTCACCAATCTCATCCTCGTCTTCATCATGCTGAGCAGCGCTGCGCTGGCCGCAGAGGACCCCATCCGCAGCCACTCCTTCCGGAACACAGTAAGTCCCTGGGTGGGGCTCGCTCTGGGATGGTGCTGGCCTCTCTCAGGCAGAGACCACTGTGGAGATGGGAGCTGTGGAGGCCCTCAGGGCGAGGGCTAGAGTAGGTCTTTCCTTCACCTGGGGGAGTTGGGTGTTTCCGGTTTGTAAGTGCCATGGAGCTTGTGTTTTAGCTGGGTAAATCTGAATGGCATCATTAATTTAGAACTTCATCTTAAATACTCTGCAGGAACTGTCAGTGAATTCAGAGAGTCTGCTTCTCCTCCTCTTTGTTCCCTGCTGCCAATATTTAAGTCCTCCTTTCCCTCCCTGCGCAGGTTCATACTCACCCCAGTTTTGAGATTCATGCCTCGTGGAAGCACATGGCAGGGAAGAAGCAGAATTCAAACCAGACATGCCACATGCCCAGGCTCTCTCATTCAGGGCTGGGGGCAAGATTCCTGTGTCATGTAGACGTAAATAAACCAAGCTGCCAGGCTCCATAACTGAGGAGAAATACAACTTAGGAAGACGATGGGATGTCGAGTTGAGGTGTTCAGTGGAGGAGAACTCTAGGCCAGGTGCAATGCCTCACACCTGTAATTCCAATGCTTTGAGAGATTGAGGGGGAGGATCACTTAAGGACGGGAGTTCAAGACTGGCCTGGGCAACGTAGCGAGACCTCAAATCTCTACAAAAAATTAAAAAAAATTGCTGAATGTGATAGCACACACCTGCAGTCCCAGCTAGTTAGGAGGCTGAGGGAGGAGAATCACTGGGACCCAGGAGGTCGAAGCTGCAGTGAGCCATGTTTACACCACTGCAGTCCAGCCTCAGTGACACAGTGAGACTTTGTCTCAAAGGAAAAAAAAAAAAAAGAATATATAATGAACGTGAAAACGTTTCTTCTCTGGGAAGATTTATTATAAAATATGTGGTTATGTTACATATTTCACAAGTATTTCCAAAGAAAGTGCTGACCTTGGCCCCAGAGAGCCAATATTAAGTTTGAATAACTTCAAGAGTGCACCAGGCAGAGCCACTTTGATCCTTAAGCATGTTAACTTGGCTGTTTACAATATTACTTTTCATTGGCAGAATTAGGAATACACAAAGAATTATTAATTGGCTGGACGTGGTGGCTCATACCTATAATCCCAGCATTTTGGGAGGCCAAGGCAGTAGAATCACTTGAGCCCAGGAGTTCAAGACTAATCTAGGCAACATAGTGAGACCCCATCTATATAAAAATTTAAAAATTAGCCACTCATGGTGGTGCATGCCTGTCCCTGCTACTTGGGAGGCAGGAGGATTGCTTGAGCACAGGAGGCTGAGCCTGCAGGGAGCTGTGTTCACACCACTGTATTCTGGCCTAGGTGACAGCGAGACTCTGTTTATAAAAAAGCAAACAAACAACAAGAACTCTAGATTTTGGTGTGGCAAAGGTGGTTATTCAGTTAACCCTCTGTTTCCATGGGTTTGGCATCCAAGGATTCAATCAACCACAGATAGAAAATATTTGGGAGTGGCCAGCCATGGCGGCTCACACCTGTAATCCCAGCACTTTGGGAGGCCAAGGCAGGTGGATCACTTGAGGTTAAGAGTTTGAGACCAGCCTGGCCAACATGGTGGAACCTTACCTCTACTAAAAATACAAAAAAAATTATCCAGGAGTGGTGGTACACACCTGTAGTCCCAACTACTTGGGAGGCTGAGGCATAAGAATCACTTGAACCCTGGAGACAGAGGTTGCAGCAGTGAGCCAAGATCACACCACTGTACTCCAGCCTGGGCAAGAGAATAAGTGATACTCTATCTAATAAAAAAAAAAAAAAAGAAAGAAAGAAAAGAAAAGAAAAGAAATACATGGGGGAGAAAATGTACTGAATTTGTGCAGATTTTTTCTAAACAATTTGCATGGCATGAAATCCAGAGATGATCTAAGGTCTACAGGAGGATGTGCATAGATTATATGCAAACACTACACCATTTTATATCAGAGACTTGAGATTTGGGGGTATGAGAGGGTCCTGGGAACAATCCCTCATGGATACGGACTATACTGAGAAAACAAGCTGAGGGCGCTGGGTGTGCAGGCTCACACCTGTAATCCTAGTACTTTGGGAGGCTGAGTCAGGCGGATCACTTGAGGTCAGGAGTTCAAGACCAGCCTGGCCAACATCGTGAAACTCCGTCTCTACTAAAAAAAACAAAAATTAGATGGGCGTGGTGGTGTGCAACTATAATCCCAGTTACACAGGAGGCTGAGGCAGGAGAATTGCTTGAATCCGGGAGGCAGAGGTTGCCGTGAGCTGAGATCTCGCCATTGCACTCCAGCCTCAGTGACAAGAGTGAAACTCTGTCTCAGACAAACAGACAAAAATATGAGCAATTCAAGGGTTTTCTGCTAGTCATCAGTTTTGTAGCTTAGGGATGGTGCCCGCCTACTACGTCTATGTTGGAAGGAAACTTGCACCTAAATTGGTTCTTGCCTCAGCAGCCCCTCCTTAACTGTGCAGCTTACTCAGCACTGAGGATCATTCAAAGGCAAGACAGCTAGAAGCAGCAGCCCGTTGATGCTCAATCCTAGGTATTATTGTGCAGTTTCAGGTTATTACCAAGAAACCCGACCAGCAGAGGGAGGCCGGCAAGTGTGCAAGCTCATCAGGTGTCCCTGGCATGCTGGTGGGTGCCTTTCTCTGAGCATCAGATTATTAGAGATTTTAGGGTTAAGACACACCAGCAGATCTGTGCCCCTAGGACTCTATCAGGACATCCAAGCCTCATGATGCTGCTTCCCATTTCTGGAGCCTGGCAAGCCCCATCTATCAGATGTATGAAATACGCACACTGATGTGAAGGGAAAAAGTGCTTTCCCCAGGGTGCGTGTTAGTTTCAGTGTAAAGAGGAAGGCACTGGGCCTTTCTCGATCTGTCCTCACAGTTTAGTGTTTTTGTTAGAGAGTTGGTCTAGATGCCCCAATAGAAGAAAGACCTCTGTGTCATTTCATTCCATCATAAAAAAAGGAGGGCTGTGTTTGGGAGAAGAAAAAAAGCATTAGGTGACAAACTAGGTCAGGAGCTAGTCTAGAATACACATTGACAAGGGGTTAATTTACATGGGGGCTTCATGTCTTCTTTTTAATTACAATTGCTTCTCCGTAAGTTTATTTCCCTGTTGCCTTACTCAAACCAAAAATGTTATCTTTCTGCTTAAACAGATGTACATATGTGTATGTATATTGCTTTTGAGATTCTGCAGTGTTTTGTATGTTTTTTAACCTTAGCTGAATTCTTAGTTTAAAAAAGAGAGAGAATGCAAGCAGAGTGAGGACAAAAACAACTTAAATCTCAACTTCTGCCCTGGGCGCCAGGTTGCCTCATAGACTTGCAGGCTAGTGTGACTTCTTTCTGGACTATTAGATGCTTTCCACATTAATATTCCCACTGTGACCCAGGAAGGAGTAAGGAGAAGGTGGCAGAGGCCTGGTAGTGCCCTGGAAGATACCTTTCATAGCCTGGCCAAGAAACTCAGTTACACAGGAGTGCTCACATAGAATGTGTAAGTCCAAAACCAGAAACAGTTTGGAAAATGAATACCCTCTGAAGAGAGAGACTGGGCTTGAAGCAGAGGTCCTCAACTTATTGTGACACAGCCCCCAGGTGACTCCCGTACCTACAACAGCTCAGCCTGGTGGCTCTCCACTGGCGTCCCCCAGGCCTACTCCTTGCCCGGCAATAACTGTGACTGGCTGTTTGGCCTGCGCATGTGTCCATTCCCTGCTCCCAGCTCCTCTAATATCTGCTAAAGAATTAGGCCTAGGTGGTCCCCACAGTCCCTTCCAGCTCTGCTCTCTCCAGTTCTTTCAAAACCATAGATCACAGTTGTCATGAAGATTAATGCAAAGACCAGCTCACCTTTGCAGATAAGGGTGCTGTGGCCAGAAGGAAGCTCCCTGTGAGTAACTTTCTTGGTGGTCAGACTTCTTGCCGCTGGCCCACTTGCCTTCACAGCTCTGAGGGAAGCAGGGACCCCAGAAAGGGCTTAGCAGACCTTGGTTGATGGGATAATAGATGGTATTGGCACAAATGCGGATAGAGTTGCCTGGACTGAAAATTCAAAGGCCAAGTCAGTCTGTTATTTGAGTAGGCCCAGCAAGGTTTAAAAAACCACTTGAGTTCAGAGAGAGCAGTGTTAGATGCAGAACAATGGGCAGGAGGAAGGCAGTCTGTAAAACCGTCCCTTGCAGACTTAGCGCATGGATGGGGAAGGGTGATGACACCCTGATTGCACAGGCTGGAATTTAAGGGAACATATGGAAGCTACTGGCTCTGATGGATGTCACTGCCATCGTTATGCCTCTCCACCCATTGGATGTTCAGATGGAGGGCAACATACTTCAGCCAGAAATGCGATTAAAAATCCAAAATGTGTATAAGCGTTTAATTTACCTGGTGCCACAAGTCATTTGTAGATGTAATGCTCTCTGATGAGAAAAGCTTGTTAACAAAGCACTCTTAGAAATCAGCCTCTGCCTGTCCAAGACACAAGACTGGGAAGCAAGTCGGGGTGAGTGGTTAAAGGAGGTTGGGATTGTCAAACGCTCTTTGGGAATGATGTAATTGACCAGAGTGGGCATTTACCAGCGGCTCTGCACTTACCTCCACAATGGCAGGGTTTTTCTGGGAGGATGGGTCTCCAACTGCATGGGGGGTTTCTACCCGTGAGCATGCAGTTGTCAGAGTTTGTCTGAATGCCTTTTCTCACTCCAACATGTTGTGCCTTGCAGATACTGGGTTACTTTGACTATGCCTTCACAGCCATCTTTACTGTTGAGATCCTGTTGAAGGTAATGGCTTTTTCCTTGATCTTCACATACTCCACAGCAGCTGTAGCAATAATAGTTGCACTTCTTTCTTTGCCTTCCAGATACTAGGTTACGCAGACTATGTCTTCACTGGTACTTTTGCATTTGAGATCATTTTAAAGGTAACAGGTTACCTGACAGTGTGTTTAAGGGCTGCTCCTGTGTGTGAGACACAGGACAGAGGCGTGAAGTGCTTTTGACCTTTTTTTTTTTTGGTCTTTTGTGGTTGAGCTAAGTTTTTTTGGTTTTTTAAAACAAAGGATTTTTTTTTTCCTGTGATCATTCCAACTTGTTTTTGCTCTTTCTTTTTAACCTTTGAATGCATGTAGGAGCTACTTTGGCTTTATGATAGTGGTTGAGAATTATATTTTGCTCCTTTAAAAAAAATACTCTCTGGACTTTGTTCACTGATAACAGATATATCACTTTGTGTGAACTTTTTTCCACCATTTCTGACATCAAAGTCAGAGGAAAAGCATTTATCCTATGAAGAGGATGTCTCTCTTTTCATTTCTCTGACTGCATTATGCTTTTGGGGGCCTAAAATAGTAACACACTATTTTCTTGCAATAGGATTTGCAAGATGACTTTGGTCTATTTGTGTTAAGGTATTTTCTGTCTGTTTTAATGGATGGGCTTACATTTACACAAGAGGAGGGCCCTTTGGCCCAGGTGACCTAAATGTACTGCCCATGCATGAGCTAACAGCTGCCATTGCTGCATGTGGTTTGTGTACTGACTGAAGGCTGCTCCATGGGGAGCCTGTTCCTTATGTGCTTAAAGTGCTGGAGACCACAGCAGAGCTCCAAGAAAATTTCTAAAACTGGCCAAGGACCACAGGGCATCGGTGATTGTGGTTCTGGGAGAACAAGGCCCATGAGAACTGTCAGGGCAGCCATCTCCTAGCAGGGAAACAAGCTGGGAAATGAAGACTTTCAACCACGGTTTTAAGCCATTGGGGGATTTTTGTGTGTGCAACTCAGGCACAGTGTATTTTGTATTGGACTACTGTGGAACTTGGGCTCTTTACAGAATCATACGTAAAATGAAACCTCAATTAATGTCATCAGGGAATGTTAGTTTTTTGAGGTTGGTGTTTTATTTTTTGGTTCATGAAACAGCATGAAGCCAACCAACTTCTGTTTACACCTTTCTTAAAAACCTTCTAAAATTTTGAGTTCATTTTCCTGCCTTTAATCCAATGAGTTTGGTTGACAGTTCTCCTAAGTCAGAGGCGTGCAGTGGGCCGTGACCAGCTCTTGTTGACGGGGCCTCCATGGGAGGGCCTGTGGATGCAGAATGCACAGTGGTGGGGGTCGGAGGGGCGCTGCCGGAACACTCACTGGCTCAGCTTCTGCCTCAGCTTCTTAGTTTTAGAATTTGACTTCTTTTCAATGTGAATGGGAGAAATGTTCTACTTAGTCTGTAGCCTGGTTAATTGAGGTTTTATTTTACTCTCCACATTTTTAGGTTGTTAAATGAATGTAGTTACTCCTAGGCTTTGGGGAAACTTAGACACAGGATTATTTAAAAGGAAAAAAATGATTGTCACTTTTTAATTTCTGAAGAACTGCTTCACTGACTTAAATCTTCTGAGTCATGCTTCATTTTGAAGGTATTTTAGAGAATGGAAAATAAGCTAAAACAAGAAGGATTCAGAAAATGGAGACTCACCAAGAAGTGTCTAACATCTGAGATGATGGCTCCTGGTGGCCTTGGGGAGATTTGGAAGGCCGTTTGCTTATTTGGTTAAGCCCTATGAACATGCCATTTTTGTAGGTCAAAAAGTGTTGAATACTGGCGATTTCATAAGGTCCAATGTAATGTTTTTCACCCCCACCTCTCATACTGTACTTATCTGAGCCTTCTCCAACCTTTCTTGTTTCAAAATAAATAGTGAGCTCTATGTATTTTGCTATTTTTACTTTGGGGAACTAAACTGTTTTTCCATCACCAATAGAAATCTCACTGGAACACCCACAGTAAGTGCTGCAGGTGCATGTGGCAGGTGAGCACAGAGCCGTGAGACTAGCTCAGGGGAGATGCTGCCTGGCTTCCTGGCCACACCAGGCACATGTAATCAGACTTTGTGGAGCTGTTTAAGATGGATGTGTCGTTAAAGACCATTAGGAACAATAAGGGATCTACGTGGAAAAGTGATGTAGGTACCTAGAGGCTGGGAGGCCTGAATTCACCCCTACACTGGGAAGGCTTCATTGAAACAAGGTAGGCTCTACCAGGGCCTCAGAGAGGCCAGAACCTGTGCTTTGTGAGGAAATGGGCTGTCTGGGCAGCTCTTAACCTTTTGACGAATGTAGTCATGTGGAGCCTTTCTTGAGACAGGCTCTTTGGACATGCCAACAGTGTATTCATATTTGAAACCTATGTTCTCTGCAAGAAAGGCTAAATTGGCTTCGTCTTTTAAAATGTATCCAAAATAAGCTGCCCCTTTTTAATTTTTGTTTGAACAAATTATCCAGTGGCTCAGCCCATTGGTTTACATTTGATTCCTAATATGTACTTGTTAATGAAGTCATACTTTCCTCAGGATTTTGTAAAGAGCCCAGGTTTCTTTTCCTCTGGAGACAAAAAATGGTAAATCACCCATGATTCTGCTTCTAGATGACAACTTTTGGAGCTTTCCTCCACAAAGGGGCCTTCTGCAGGAACTACTTCAATTTGCTGGATATGTTGGTGGTCGGGGTGTCTCTGGTGTCATTTGGGATTCAGTAAGTATTCTGGGGTATGTACCCAGAGCTGTGGGGCTGAATGGTGTATGTATGGACTTTCAATATAATTGATAAAGGCTGGGCATCATTTTCATGATTATATTTAGTTATATAGGTTTATTTAATTTGCTCCCATTTCAGAAAGCATTGGGACAATCATGTTTTCTTATTTTATTTTGTGTGTGTGTGTGTGTGTGTGTGTGTGTCCCTGCTGCTATGTTGAGCTTATTATTCTCTGTGAAATTTGCTTTCAACTGAGGTGAAAGAAGTCTTGACTAGGAGGGAGGTAAGCCAGATACTAGTTCTGGTTCCTCCAAAGGCTGATCCCAGGGCCTTGAGGGTACCCTTTCTCAGGAACCCTGTTCCCCTTTTATATAGGGGGGCTGGGGCCAGGTGGCCTCTCAGTCCTTCCAGCTTGTCGAGAACTTCCTTTGATTTTCAGGATATAGAACCTGCTAGGACCTTTTAGTTGGCCTCTGGAATTTTTTAGCTAAGAGGGAGCCAATGCTGAAAGTCAGGGCCCTAGGTCTTTTCCATGGCATTTGGGGATTTCTGGTGGGGACAGCCATTGCTGAGTACTGCCTGCCATCCCCAGAGGTGTGGGGCAGAGGCCCCAATAGAGCATCAGGTGTGGCCTTGCTTTCCTACTGACCTGTGAGCACTTCTGTTCAGGTGCTGAACATAGAGTATCCCCCATGTGAGCACACCTGCACACACATGCCCTCTAAGCTAAAGAGAAATAGAAAAGACCTACCTTCCTTGGAAGACCAAGAACCTCTGCCTGAAACAGCCCTCTGTGTTATCCTCCTCGCCTCTCACTGAGGGAGCCCTGTGGTCATAGCTTAGAGGGCTATTTGCATTAACATGTTTGTAGCTCCTATGAGCACCCAGGCTGTTCCTGTTCTCTCCAGCTGCAGCCCTGCCCACTTCTTCCTGAGTTGTGCTCTGGCCACACTCAGCCATCTGGGGTGCGACAGAAAGCTACATTCTCTTGTGTTGCATCCTTGCACGTGCTGCTCCCTCACACGAGAGCCCCCTCCCTATTATCCTAGCTAACCCCTGCTCCTCCTTTGGGACTCACCTGGCTATCACCTACCCCACCCCGGAGTCCTTCCTAGGTTCCCCCACTGCCCCCGCAGGTTGTGCTCCCCTGGCTGAGTACACTGCATTTACCACGTCATGTGCCACACTGAATTGGGATTGCCCATCTCTCCACCAGACTCTGAGCTCCTTGAAGGCCAGAGAAGCCCTGGTGCCAAAGTGCTGTAGCAGGCCTCCAACCTTAAACAAGAACAAACAGTATGTGAAGCCTAAAAGTCAACTACCTTGCGTTTATAGTGAGTGGAAAGAACAAAGTGAGTTCATGAGTAGTGTCTCTGCCTAGGTCAGCTGTGCACCTGTCAGAGCCTTTGTGAGCGCCACAGGCTGGGCCTGGGAGGTACTGCCTAGTGTGGGTGGGGAGGAGAGATTGCCTGTGAGTTGTGGAGAGAGAGCGGCTCAGTACCACATGGATCCCGTGCTAACCGTGTAGGGATACTAAAGCGAAGCTCCAGTGAAATGGTGAATCTAAAGGCATCCTGCCTGTTTATAACATGCTCTGCCTGCCGTCTTTGTGCTCCTTCCTTAGATCCAGTGCCATCTCCGTTGTGAAGATTCTGAGGGTCTTAAGGGTCCTGAGGCCCCTCAGGGCCATCAACAGAGCAAAAGGACTTAAGGTTTTGATTCCTCTCCTCCAGGCTGGGCTGGCTTTTGTTGGGGTTGGCTGTAATTACTGGCTCTTCTGGGCAAAGATGAGCTGAGGACTGATGGATTTTTAAAGTGGGTTATAAGGACCTTTCTAACCAATTCAGCCACCTGTGCCAAGTGCTAATGGCATTTTTAAAATTGTGATTTATTTTCTTTATTTTTGGTAATTGAAGATATTTTTCTTTATAATTATTGTCCATTTATTACCTTTTTATTGGTAGTTCTTTGTGTTTCGTTTTTTGGTTTTCATGCAGACTGTATATAAAAGACTACTGGGTTTCTATTTTCCTCAGTCATTTACGGAGTGGGAACCCTTTGTGTTCATGTGCTAGGCAGCACTGCACATGTACCTGTGGCATTTCTTTTTCTTTTTTTTTTTTTGAAATGGAGTCTTGCTCTGTCACCCGGGCTGGAGTGCAGTGGCGTGATCTTGGCTCACTGCATCCTCCACCTCCTGGGTTCAAGCAATTCCCCTGCCTCAGCCTCCCAAGTAGCTGGGGTAACAGTCACCTGTCACCACACCTGGCTAATTTTTGTATTTTTAGTAGAGATGGGTTTTCACCATGTTGGCCAGGCTGGTCTCAAACTCCTGACCTCAAGTGATGCACCAGCCTCAGCCTCCCAAAGTGCTGGGATTCCAGGTGTGAGCCACTGCACCCAGCCAACATAGAAACTCTCGGCTGCTGTTAGCTCACCTCAAGGCCAAAATCATGAAGGAGAGTCACGCCCCTCTGCCCTCTCCACAGCACGTGGTCCAGTGCGTCTTTGTGGCCATCCGGACCATCGGCAACATCATGATCGTCACCACCCTCCTCCAGTTCATGTTTGCCTGTATCGGGGTCCAGTTGTTCAAGGTAGAGGAACTGCCTCTGAGCAGAAAGCCCAGGTGGATTTCTTTAAGGAGAAGCTGCACCGATTTGACTGCTTGTCTGTTCTCTACCCAGGGGAAGTTCTATCGCTGTACGGATGAAGCCAAAAGTAACCCTGAAGAATGCAGGTGAGCGCCCTGAGCGTGGAGTGATGAACTTGGAAGAGCAAATAGAAGACTTTAAGGATTCACACATGTTGGCACTTCAGAAGTTTTTCTCATGAAATAAAACAGGACTGTGTGCTCAGCCTGTGGGTGGATAGATGGTGTTCATTTTTCATTGAGGTGAAATTCACATAACATAAAAATCAACCATTTTCAGTATACAGTTCCTTAGCATAGAGTATCAGTGGCATTGTTGTGCAACCCACACCTCTATCTAATTCCAAACTTTTTGTCATCCCAAAAGAAGGGATAGATGGCTTTTGTGGTAGAGAATGTATAAATGGCGGGAGTTGGGGGAACCCTTAAATGACAATTATGAAATGCCCCAAATAGCTTCCATGGCAGCCACATGGATGATTTCCCCCAAATCAGAACTTGAAACTCAGCTCCCTGGTGTTTGGGAGCTGGCTCCCTCTTCTGATGCATTTTCCAGACTTCCTTTCTCCTGGTTCCTATTACCTACATCTTGGCCATACTTCCATAGACAAGAACTGGCGGAGGAGAGACAAGGTGGGAAATACTCATGCCTCCCATTCCAAGATGTCCAGTGACCATGAAGGCATTCATGGAAGCCATTGCCTAAAGGTTCAGGCTCTGCAGAGGCCTGTGTCTCTCCACCCATTGAAGATGTAACTGACTGGGCTCTGGTCGACTGTGTGCTTACATTGGTTTGGGGTTTCTTTTAAGCAGAAGGTGCAGTCAGAGAGCAATTGCAATTTGGCTGTGTCTCTGCACCTCCAGAGGCACCATTCACGCAGGCTGTGGGGTGCATGACGGCCCTGGAGGTGAGCAGCCTAGCAGTGGCGTGGGGACCCTGTCCTTTCTCTCTCGAAGGCTCTGTGTCTTCATTTGTAAAATAAAGACATTGTGCTTTATCTCTTGGGTTCCTTCCAGAAATGAAGTTCTATGAGAAATAATTTGCCAGAAATAATGGAATTCTTTTGGAAAGAAAATTGGGAGTGTCATTTGTAAGAAGAGAAAGGGATTTGATTAAAACTAAAATGCAGAGAGAATATACGTGGGCTTGTTTCCCAGAACTTACAGAGTTCTCTGTGGCCGAGCTTGGATCCTTCAGAGCACGCCTCAAGCCCATTGTGTATGAGATGCAGTCACCATGCTGTGGCTTTTATCAACCAATGAATGGATGCCCTGTGTCCGGCTGGCTGCTCTGGAGAATACACATTGCACTGGTAGTTATTCAATGGTTATTTGAGCCACAAAATAGATTAAATGCAGGGCAAGGAGAGGAGAAACAGCGCCGGTGTTACACTCAGCTGTGTGACTGGCTGGCGGACTGAGCGTGACCTGCCTCGAGTTGGGATCGGGGTAGTGTGACCAACTTTATGCCGCTTCCACCTGTCATGTGTGAAGCCAGACGACCCACACCTGTTTTCCTCTCCAGGGGTCTTTTCATCCTCTACAAGGATGGGGATGTTGACAGCCCTGTGGTCCGCGAGCGGATCTGGCAAAACAGTGATTTCAACTTTGACAACGTCCTCTCTGCTATGATGGCGCTCTTCACGGTCTCCACGTTTGAGGGCTGGCCTTCGTAAGTACAGGGAGCACGCAGTCTTCTGGGGAGGCGCCTGCATGCCCAGGGCTGAGCCCTCTCTCCTGGAGTCAGTTCCATTTCTGTTCTCCAGTGTTGCAGGCTTGCCCTGTGGGTTTTTAACCTTGGGCCACTTCTTAATCACTTGTTGACCCACAGGGCCTCTTTCTGCATAGGCAGATGATTGGTGAAGAGGAGATAGTAGAGGTGCCAGGCAGCATCTCCGGGAGGGAGCAGGGAGGCGTGAGAGGCCTCAGTCTTGTGAACTCCCACTGGTAGCCATGTCAATAAAGCTGCCATCTGCTGCTCCCAAAGAGGGTCTGGATGGTGTCCCAAACCCTTCCCTCCTTCCCTCCCTCCTTCCCTTCTTCCCTCCTTCCCTCCTTCCCTCCTTCCTTCCTTCTTCATACTAATATGTGCCAGGTGCAGACAGTTGCTGTTGTGCCATCTGTTGTATGGAGCCACTCACTCACTCACTTACAGACCGTGCTGCACAGAGGCGTGTGTCTCCCCACACAGTGTCTAAACATGTTTCCTCCCCTCACGCCCAAATCTAATCAGTTTCAAGTGGTCAAAGAAGGCAGGAGGTCTGGTGTATTCTAGATGTGCAGAACAGGGTCCTGAAGAGTGGCTAGGATGTTGATGAGTAAAATTTAAAAAGCAGGTAAGGAGAAGGTCAAATTCAAAAGGGAGAATCCTCTGCACCTTCCTGTTGCTCTCTGCGTCTGTAGCTCCCACCCCCAACTCCTGCCATCAGTGTGCAAACACGCCTAGAGTCCTGGATGCCCGGTCCCCTTGCATAGATGAGCTGCAGGAGGCTGACAGGCTGGGACTTGCAGGCCAGCAGAGCTCTTGGAGTGTGTATAAGAGTCAGGGAGATTTTCAGGAGCTCCTGTGGGATAGACAGTCAGATGGGGCTTGTCCATTAGGGATTTAATCCCGGGAGAACAGAGGCATGGAGTGAGGCCCTTCACTGTGTGCAGGCACTGGCTGTAGTGTCAGGCTTTGAACACTGTGTTTGAGCAACTTATGATGGGAGCTGAGGAGAAAGGAGCAAACCTGGGACTTGGGGTTTGGAGGAACTGGCTCAGCTCCTGGCTCTGCCCCCAAGGAGTGTGACAGTGGCACTTTGATCCCTCCCTGAATATTTGTATGATGGGGATGACAGTAAAGTCTGCCATCCCAGATGGATGTAAGGATTAAGGGAGAGGCTGTGAAAATGTCTAGTCTGCACATGGGCTGGGCCTGCAGAAGTGTTGAATCTGCATCCGAATGGGGCGTATCAGTGGACCTTGAGGGTGTGACAGTAATCCCCCTCTTCCTGTTCAGAGTTCCGACAGGCATATCTTTAATTTTAGCTCATATCTCCATTTGGGGAAGCACCCTTAGCTCTTTGGAAACACTCTGGTTGGTCACATATTAACTTGCCAGTGTGTGTAGTTTTCACTTCCTCCGGTGTCTTACATGTGATACTCTTCCTCTCTGAATAGAAAGAGGCATTTTAGAATATTTGTGAAATCTTTGGATTTTCAGGTCCTCAGCACAGTCCCTCGATGATGATATCCCAGGTGCCCCCTCCTCTCGGTGCTGGCCATCTGGGTCTGAGGCTGAGGGAGAGACCTGGCTATGTCCAGTGGCCCTGGGGTGGGTGCGCAGCAAGTGCTCCTGAGAGGAGTTTAGGAGAGGAAAGACTTGGGAAGGCAGTGGGCTGGGTCGCTTGGGCTGAGGGGCTTGGCAGGTCCTCACTTAGTTTTTCTGTCTCTAGGTTGCTGTATAAAGCCATCGACTCGAATGGGGAGAACGTCGGCCCAGTCTACAACCACCGCGTGGAGATCTCCATCTTCTTCATCATCTACATCATCATTGTGGCCTTCTTCATGATGAATATCTTTGTGGGCTTTGTCATCGTGACATTTCAGGAGCAAGGAGAAAAAGAGTATAAGAACTGTGAGCTGGACAAAAATCAGGTTAAAGTCACACACTGTTTGGGCTTCTGTCCCTTGATCAGGAGCGGAGGACCTCCTTTTTTGACTGATGTACCCCATGCCCAGAGAAGGGTGCCCACATACTGTCTGTCCCTGGGGCTGTGACCCTGTTCTGAGCACACCCTCCGCCCGTCTGAGTCATCCCTACTGTTAGGTTTCCAGATACATATGAGACTTTGTAATCATGAAATCCATCCCCAGACCTGGTGGTATGAAATCAGAGTGCTTACGCCACCTACCATTGTCATGACCCACTAGTGGTGGCTCAGAATCTTAGTTGGGGTGCTGTGGCCACTCACACAGACACTCACAGTCCATACTGGGAGAGAGTCTTTAAAGCCAGTTAGGGTAGAGTTTACTATCCTTGGTGCTACTAGCATTTCAGGCTGGGTGGTTCTTGGTTGTGTTTCCTGGGCTTTTTAGGCTGTTAAGCAGCATCCCTGGCTTTTACCTCTTAGATGCCAGTGGTTCCTCTGCCCCGGTAGCAGTAATCAAAATGCCTCCAGACATTGCCAAATGTCTTTTGGGGGGCAAAGTTGCCCCTTATTGAGAACTGCTGACTTAGAGGGAAATATCCTACACCACCCCAGGGGAGTCAGTAACTTTGAATTTGGGACTAAGATTGTACTGGCATCATTCTTGATCTGGCACCATGTTTTAGCCAATCTGGTAGAAGTAGGAGCCTTTTGCTCTGGTGATGTGGTGAGGGGAGGGAGCCCTGTGCTCTGAGCTGTCTTCCCTGCACCTGCACTGTGAACCCACAGGGGCTTGATCCCTCATCTCTAAATCGAGGCCATTAAAGAACTGCTCTTTAGACATTCCTTTCAGCCCTGAAAGAGTCAACAAGATTGAGATTCTGTTCTGGGAGTCTCCCCAGGTCCTCTATCAGTAGCATCTCAGTTTCGATGATGACATCGCAAGCAAGAATGATCTGTAGCCTAGGCTTCCTGAGGGGAAGTGGCCCTAGCACAGCAAAACAGTCTGTTGCACAGCTGGCCCTGCCCACTGGGGGAAATGTGAGGACATGCTTACTTGGTTTGCAGGAAGATTTTCCTTTGAGTTGTCAGGGTGTCCCTGCAGACTCCACCAGTGACTGTCCGGGAGAGGTCTAGCCTGGCTGTTTGCTCACCCAAGGAAGACGAGTGTTGGGGCAAGGCCCAGGCCAGCCATGCACAGTCAGCGCTGTAAGTGTGTCAGCCTCTGAGGTCCAGCGCAGACTCAAATCAGGGGTCCCTGGAGTCAGCATGTGAGGTCAGAGCAGCACTGGGTCCCACATACAGGGAGCCTGTCCAAAGTCTGCATCCAGAGTCAAAGTAGAAGAGTAGGTCTAGGGTCTCAATGCTGAGCTGAGGGCTCTTGGGGCCCGAGGCTTCCTCTGGGTCTGCTGTAGAGGGTGGACCAGCTCTACTCCCCAGAGTAAGTGAGAAAGACAGTGCTCCAGCTGGGCCCCAACCTGTGTTCAATCCAGCTGTCACTACTGACCACATCCTAGAAAATCTGAAATGAACACAACAAGCTCCCCAGCTCCAGAAGCTCCCCGATGGACATGTAGACAGCACCCCGTAAGATGTTTGTTGTTAACATATTCTGGCTCCTGAGGGGTATCTTGTGTGGATCCGTCCGGGAGCAGCCAGGAGGCTACTAGTCTCGGGAGTCAGCCAGCCGCTCTAGTTCCTGTAAGTTTCTGTTCCTGTGGTTACTTGGCTTCCTATCCTGGAGGACAGCACAGGAACTGTAGGCATGATCCACCTGTAGATCCTCCATAGGCACAATGTAGAGGAAAGGCAGTGACAAGGCCTAGACCCAGTCCTCACTCCTCTGCTTGTGTATACACTGCAGGGCCTCAAGAAAGACAACTAAAAGCTCCGAGCCTCGGTTTTTAGTAGGCAAAATGGAAGCCACGTGGATAGGTACCCAACTTACCCTGAGGTTGCTGGGAGGGTCAGACAAGGTAATGGAGGCAGGGCCCTCAGTGACTCAAGAGTGGTGCCGGTGCCAGGAGGGGTGTCACTCGTAATCGTTTTCACCACTGTCCATGGCCCCTTCCCATGAGCTGCAGGGTGAGCTCTTTCAGAGCAGATGACCATGGGGTCCTCCTTCCCTGGAAGTGCTCAGAACCCCATTTCTGCCCTTTTCTGCTGTTGCAGCGTCAGTGTGTTGAATACGCCTTGAAAGCACGTCCCTTGCGGAGATACATCCCCAAAAACCCCTACCAGTACAAGTTCTGGTACGTGGTGAACTCTTCGCCTTTCGAATACATGATGTTTGTCCTCATCATGCTCAACACACTCTGCTTGGCCATGCAGGTAAAAATGGAGACAGCTGTGGGGATCAAGTCTGGGCATTCCGCACAGCCCCATGCCCCAAATGCTGAGGGTGGAATGCTGCCCCTCACAGGAGGGATTTGATTTTTCTGATGAGTCTGGGCTATAGGTTGGCCAGAGTTCCATTCTGGCTAACAGTTGTCACGGTAGGAGTTTCAGCTCATTCTTTTGTTGAAGAAATTATCTGTACAGCACAATGGCAGGTAACATTTCCATGGAGCCTGGCAGTGGGGCTCAATTCTAGAAACAGTTACCATGGGCCTCCTGTGGCCAGGTAGTGGCTGAGGACTATAGCTCTGGAGATAGACAGCTGTTTCAATTCTGATTTTACGCTGATTTTTCTGTGACTTGGGAAAAGTTGCTTTAATTCCCCAGGCCTTGCTTTCTTTATTGGTAAAATGGGGAAATATGTCACATCTACCTTTGATATAAGGTTTATGCTATAGATAATTCCCCTCACTTTCTTTTTTTATTTTTTGTTTATTTTTGTTTTTGAGACTGAGTGTTACTCTGTAGCCCAGGCTGGAATGCAGTGGCGCGATCTCAGCTCACTGCAGCCTCCACCTCCTGGGTTCAAGCAATTCTCATGCTTCAGCCTTCTGAGTAGCTGAGATTACAGGCATGTGCCACCACGCCTGGCTAAGTTTTGTATTTTTAGTAAAGACGGGGTTTCACCATGTTGGCCAGGCTGGTCTTGAACTCCTGACCTCAGGTGATCTGCTGTCTCAGCTTCCCAGAGTGCTGGGATTACAGGTATGAGCCACTGCCCTCAGCCCTCTCAGACGTTTTGATCTGGGCTTGTCACAGAGTAACACTCAATGTTGGAAAACAAAACATAAGTCACACTCCTGTCCTCAAGTGGCTCTCAGCATGGCAGTAGGGGAATTTTCCAGTTGACGAAGTATTAAGTTTGACGTGAGTTACAGCTACTTCTTATTTCAGTAAGGGCAAGAAATGCAATTCACTTTAATTGGCCAAGTCAGATTATAGTGTGGTATTAACAGTGAATGTTTTCAAAAATTACATTGCCTAGTAGATACTGCATGAGAACAGGAAGCAAAGACCAAGGTGTAGAGCCAGCTTTTGCACTGACCTTAAGAACTCCAGCACATCAAACCAGCTCTCAGTGCTGTCTGGACAGTAGGTCTAAAGATAGGGATAAATTTTCTGGCCTTTTGCTTTATCTAAGAGTTCTTTTTTAATGAAAAGGACCATGTGCTGATGTAGGGAAAAGTGTAAATTCAAGAAAACACTGCCTTTTATTCAACATAAACCTACATGGCATAAAATTTATCCCTAACCAAATTCTACCTTTATTCATAGACAGTTTGGTGGTATCTGCATTGTGCTCTGGTCAAGGCCCTGAACATAAAGCCCTGCCAGAAGAAAGGGTGAATTCCCTTTATCCTGAGCAGAGGAAATGGATATGTTTCCCACTTCATCATTCAATCATCCTCATCTTGTCACAGACCCCCTGCACTTTGTGGGAGTTCACCACGTGACCTTGCAATGCCCGCAGAATTGCCGGGCGAGGGTGCTGGGCTGTGGAGAATGCCCGCAGGGGCACAGAGGGCTGGGAGCCTCCATGTGCAAGCATGTGAGATGGCCGAGGCTCTGAGAATGGCCCCTCTGTCTTCATCCATAGCACTACGAGCAGTCCAAGATGTTCAATGACGCCATGGACATTCTGAACATGGTCTTCACTGGGGTGTTCACCGTCGAGATGGTTTTGAAAGTCATTGCATTTAAGCCTAAGGTGAGTTGCAGAACCCACTTTTCAAACTCTGTTGCTGAGTCACCCTGGAGAAGTACCCACTTCCTGTTACTCTTATGTTACTGAATTAGGCTAAATTGTTCTGGCCGCTAACTGGGTTACCACCTGAGAACATTAAAATCTGATTAAGGCCTGGGTGTACATACGGGAAAATGAATCTGCAAAAACAAAACCTCATGAAAACAATTCTGAGAAACAAAAGAAGGGACCTAGAGTTGGGAATCTATAAACTGGAGATTATTTTGAAAGCCAGTTTTCTGTTTTTAGAATAGTACATATCATGCTGTGTCAGGGAAACCTGCCTCATTACTTGAGCACTGGTGAAAATGTTTAAACATTAACCCATCAGAAAGAACTTGACCCTGATTACACTTTCAGATGTCTAAAGACTTTGGTTTTGTTTGTGCTTCGTCTACAGCATCCTTTTTACCCTTTGAGGAAAGTTCTGATGCTAGCTGCAGACCTTTCACAGCCATACCATCTTTTGTTTGCTAATTTAGAAAAATCTCACTTGGCTTTAACACAAAATAAAATGTGAAATGTGTTCAGCTGTGCTGAGTGTCCCCTCCCAAAGGGGACACTCAGCGTGTTGTGTCCCCGTTGGGAGGGAGTGAATTCAGTTCCCCAGTTGTCTTTCTTATTCAAGTGGCTGCCAGAATAAGAGGCAGTGTAGATCAGTGTCAAATTGCACAGTTGTGGAACTGAACTGGATTCAAACCTCTGCTCTGGCACTTATAGCTGAAACAAGTTCCTTACTTCTCTGTGCCTCGACTTCCTCACCCATAAAATGAGGATGTGAAGAGTGCTGTTTCATGCGGTTGTCATGAGGAGTGAAGAGTTCCCATATACGCACTGCTTAACAGAGTGCCTGGCGTATAGCTCCACACTCTGCAGACTGTCGGCCACCCCTGCTCCTACCCACCCCTACCCTAACCCTCATCATCATCAAGCAAGGACGTTCCCTCATCCTAAAACCCTAGACAGAGGAGCCATATCAAGCTGAAATGTGGGATATTTGGCTCTCAGTTTCTTCCCCAGTACAAAACTCTCAGAGTTAGAGATGACCGAGTTCTGTGACCCAGTTAGTTATCTGTGTGTAAGGTATCTGATGACACTGATTTAATTAAGTTAGACATGGATTATGAAATGGATGGTTTCACATACTCCACGGTTACATGATATTCTAATTCCAAACTGTTCCTTTCTTTAATTTGAATTAATCTCTATGCAATCTTTATCAGATCTTTGTGGACCAAAAAGAAAGGACATTTGTAAGTGATTAATTGGGGTGATTGCAGTGGGGTCAAATTTGGCACCTTATGCATGGCCAGATGTTATTATCTCCTGTGACTTGTCCATATCTACATACATAAACATTTCCTCCTTTTCCAAATTCATCTTAATTTTCTTTGAGATTTTGGTTTGCTTCCCTCTCACCTTTACTTCTTTGAACAATATTTGTCTGGACTGATGGAAGAAAAGGTTGCAAAGTAAGAACATCGAAGGTACTTGAGAAATGCAACATGGAACCTCTCTGTGGAACATTTCCCATATACCTGGGCCATGTTTTTCCTTGCCAGGTGATTAAGCTCTGAAGCGTTTGAAAGTTGTTCCAGGTTGAAGAGAAAGCGCACTCACCCATGGTGTGTGTGTATGTCTGTGAGCGCGTGTGTGCACGTGTGTGTGCATAAGTGTGCTCGTTCCCTTCAGCAGGCTGGTGCATTCACAGCTCAGTAGTACACCGTCCAGTAGGCCGACAGTCGCCCAGAACATCTCCAAACCTAGGAGGAGAGTTCAGTGGCGTGTGAACAGACGAGTGATACCAACGGGAAAGGAGTCGCTAAGTTATAATCAGTACTGATCAGAGTTTCTAAATAGTTGATTTCCGCTGGAAACTGTGCTGCTTGTCATTTTACTCAGCAGGTTATCTTCATAGCAGCAGACCTCACATTACAATTGGGAGAACGGTTGCGACAGTAGCAGCAGCATCTCCACATTTGAGGAGCACTGTCACTGCATTCCCCCAGGCCAGGGGAGGTGGAGTTTATACCATGTGCCTGGATGATTGGGAGAGAATCAGTTCACCAAGAAGCAATGCTCTCCTTAAAATTTTTCTGCCCTTTTATTCTTGTTCTCTTTGGTGTTCACAAGCCCAGCTCAGGCAAGTGGTCTTTCACAAAGAAGCCAGGGAGGCCTCCTCCCTCCTGGTCAGTGAGGTAGTCGGACTGAGGAGCAAGGTTGCTAAGGCTGCAGAAGGAGGAATATTCTGAGGAGGTGGCCACATGGGACCCCAGCCTCATCTCAGGAGAGCCTTTGTCTCATGGGAGGAGCTTTGTAACAGGGTCCCTCACAGCAGGGTTCTCCACCGAGTCAGGCTGGGAGGACTCGTCAGCATCTCTGTTATGGTACACAGGGTGGCAGGGTTTCGGTTGTTTCATAACATAAATATAGAAAGTGAGGTAAGACAAAATCCTTACTGGTAGATGAGAAGGCATTTTGAGAGGGAAGGGTTAAAGAAAGTTGAGAAATCTGACCTTAAGGACTTAAGGTCAGATTCCTTATATTTAAGGTCAGATTTCTTATATTTCCTTATATAAGGGAGCCTGATGGAGAAACTGGGCCGCCTAAGAGAGCATCTTTAGAGGGAAATGCCCAAGGCCATGGGAGATGAGGTGACCCAGCCTCTGCTGGCCAGGAGGAAGGTGGGAGGGGGACAGAGGGAGGAAACCCAGCACTGGGAGCCTCTGCCATGGAAGAGGCCATCTCACTGCATGGAAGGAGGTGTTTTGGAGCACCGGTCAGGCAAGAGTGGAAAACGGTTAGGAGCCAAAGTGCAAAAGCATTTGGAAAAAGCAAGCAGGTGATTTAACTGGTTGTGGGTTCCCAAAGGGAAAGTCCACCAGCTGGGCATTGACCTGGTGCAGCCTAGGTTATGCTTTCAACTTGGGATCAACCGGGCCTCTGTAGGGTTTTCAAAAGTAGGCCCTGGTTTAGGTGAGACACAAGCCCCATTCTCCTAGCCTTTCCCTCCAGCTACTGGAATTCTCCAACAAGTTCTCTTGGTGCAAGGAGGAAGAGTGACTAAGAGGGGCCTTTTTCAAAGTCCTGGCTACAGCAGGTATAGAGAGCACTTCTGTGGAGCAAGAAGAGCCTAGTCTGTCTGAGATTCCCCCTTTGTGGGATGTGACTTACCTGGCGTTTCGTCCAGGCTTTGTTCTAGGGCAGGCTGCTTGCTGCAGTTACCAGCCTTCTCCAGTGAGCCATACTTTGTTCCCATTTTAGTCCTTAAAGCGTTTTGATCTTGATTCTATCCTGAAAATATACTAATTTACACTCATAGCTACTTGGGCTGAAAAAAGTAAGGAGAAATTAGGTTTGGGAAAAGAAGAAAGTATTTTGGTGCTGTCCTCATGCTGCTGTGCAGAGCTGATGCAGGATGGGCACTGGGTCCTCCCATCCCATCTGCTTTCGAGGGCTCTGTTCCCTGCTCCAGGGTCTGTTGCAGGAGGACAGTTTCTTCATGATCTTCCTAGAGTACCTGTTCCACCTGCTGGAGAGAAAATTTGATACTGTTTTTTTTTTTTTTTAATTCTTCATGACTACATCTATTCTAGGAGATTTCTTTTTAATGGCAAATAATACTTGAAACCAAATATTATTGTCCTTAGAACTTTACATTGGGCTTCTCGTTGGGATCCATCCTGTCCTTTTGTCATCGAGGTTTCCCAGAGCCCTCTCCTGGTTCTCTTCTTGCCTTGTAAGGTGCATACATGCCAGAGCTTCAGTGGCCGCCTCTGCGGCATGCAGACCTGCACTGCCCTCCTCTCTCCTGAGCTACTACGCCTGCCTGCCTTTAAAATGATCTCCCTGCCTGCCTCTGGCCTCAGCCCTTCCCGCTACTCCCTTTGTTAGCCCAAAGCTGACCAGGTCACTCTTGCAGTGATTCTGGCACTGGCCACCTATTGCTTGAGAAAGCATATGTGATTTCCTTAGCTGAATATTCAAAGTCCTCCATGAATCACTGGCCTGTGCATATTTCTGCCTCATTTCCTGCCATGCCTTCCCTGCCATTTCTTCTTCCCCACCCCATCCCTGAGTGTTGGCATGCTAGACCTTTCCCTGCCCATGTACCTCTGTCTGGAAGCCCTGCTTCCTCCTTGTTATCCTTGAGACCTGTGGAAAATGTTATCTCCTCTGAGACACCATCCTCACCAGCCCACCCAGAGCCAGCTGTCTCCTCTGCGCCTGCATCTGTTGGGGGTGTACTATGTACCATCGTTATCAACACAATTCTATGTCTGCCTCTCTGTTCTCTGGTGAGCAGCTGTTTGAGGTCTCAGGCTGAGTCTTCTGTCTCTGGCTCTGCAGTGCTTCACATGATGCCTGCTTCCTGGTGGTAGCTAAGTAAGATTGGTGGAATGAAGAAAGGAATAAAGGGATGATCCTGGAAGTGCAGCTTCTGGGCGTGAGATGATACCTGCTTTTCTAGCACCTGCTCCCTAAGAGAGCATATTTAGAGGGAAATGATCCAAGGCCATGGGAGATGAGATGATTCAGCCTCTGCTAGCCAGGAGGGGGTAGGGAGACAGAGGGAAACCCTGTGCTGGGAGCCTCCGTGATAGAAGAGGCCCTCTCACTGCCATCTCACTGCAGGGGAGGAGATGTTAGGGGACACAGGGTGGCAGGGTTTCATTTGTTTTGTAAAATAAATATGAAAAGTGAGGTAAGACAAAATCTGGGTGTCTGGGTAAAGCAGAGTGGAGCACATCTTCCTTTATTCCCCAACTTACCTTTGGAAAGGCTTTTGCTAGTTAGAAGGCTGTCAGGCATAGTTTCTACCAAAAGTTGGCACTTTGGGTTATCACTTGGGTCAAATGCTACCCAAATAATCCCTGCCAGAAATGGGTAGGTGATCTGGCTGCCATGGTCAATGACAAAAGTCACATTATTGATACAGTCTTCTTCCGATCTGCAGATGAGGGTGAAGCCAGACAGCAAAAGGAATCTGGACTTGGGTCACTTCTCTTATTTCCCATTTGCAACCATTCCACAAACGTTGCCCCTCGCCCTGTGCCATATCCTGGCAAGAGGCCACTAATAAGAAGAGTCTCCTTCCGGGAGCCCACTGTCTGGCAGGAAACAACCATTGATGGATGGCAAGAATAGTGTTCTTCGAAATAATGGTGCTTCCTGACTCTGAGGCCCACTTTAGTCTGGTTTATGATTTTAAATTTCCAGAGTCAGAAATGTTTCTGAGTAACACATATTATTGCATGTGGCTAACTTGCTTGGTCTTTTCAGACAGGTGGAGCTGGAAACAAAAATTATATAGATTTGACTTCTGGTTCCACTTGAGATGTCCTGGCCTCAGAATTCAGTTGTAGGAAACCACATCATCATAGGCCAACAGGAGAGAGCAGGGAGGGGGGCCGTCTCTTAGCAGCTGTGTCTCTTATATCTTATCTACTGGTTACAAAGGCAGTATGGTGCTTTGGTGGGAAAAGAGTGGGGGAACTGAGTCATGCCGCTTGACAATGATTTTATTAAACAAGACACTACTAGAAAGGGAAACAGTATGTGGGAAGAGAGGGAAGGCTGGCATATTCTGCCTCCCCTGGACTCCTGTCAGAGCCACCTGGTCAGAGCCTGTGATTTCAGCTACCTGCCTCCTGCTTCCTAGATTAAGGGTGTCAACCTTCAGTCCATCAGTCATTCTGATTTGGGCACAATTTTGTGAGTGTGAGGGGTTTCTGGAGAGAGAGAGTCAATGAAATTGCCAGAAACTTCCAAGACCCCAAGGAAATGTTAAGCCCCTATTGTGTTGATTTAAAGGAATTTTATCCATCACAGCACACCAGCATTGAGAATATCTTAGAGGCTGTTGGAAATGGCCCAAAGGGAGGAACACTGATAATTCTGTACAGAGGGAGAGAGGAGCTGTTCAGGAATAAAATCTCAAAGTCAGTGATAGAGGCCGGCCTCCAGCACCCACGTGGTGGGTCTGGCCTCTGGGAAATGATGTTAATAACAGAGAGAAGCGGTGTACACGGTGCATATGCAGGCAAGGCTGGGCACAGACTGCAGCAGCTGTGAAGGATGGACTCTGGGCCTCCGCTGCCCTGTCACTACTCTGGAGGTCTAGTTGCTACTCGTGACCAAGTGTTTGATTGTGTGTAAATTCCTCCCCAGAGGGGAGGGGAAGGATCACTGTGCTCTCTTTAGCTTTTGAGTTGCTCTGAACTCAGTGAAGAAAACAGCAGGTTCTGTCCCCCAAGTGTGGTCTGTGGCACGGCCACCAGTCGGAGAACTGCTTGTTACCCATTCGCAACAGGGGGCGTCAGCTGTAGCACTAAGCACATTGATTCAGCCGGCTTTCTTGTTAGGAGACTTACTAGATGAAGGAGACTCTGCTGTGAGGCTAGCTCTTGATCTTACCTGTGACTGCCAGCCTAAATCTCAAAGGCAGCCCATCTCTGCTCAGTTTTGCCAGCCAAGAATCATGAATTCATGCAAAGGAAAACTAGAAAGTATAAGCTGTGCTGTTTTTAAAGTAGACCTTCTCATTAGACTTTTATACACAGATCATTAGATTTGGGGCTCACAAGTTCCTTTTGTTGCTGAGAGAGGGGCCTGAGAGGGTAGCAGTCAGTGAGGGGAAAATGAGAGAGAGGCACTGTGATTGGAGGGCAGGCAGAGAGGTGAAGAGTTGGTTAGAAACCATGGCGATTGGGTGGGGGAATCTTACATTATTAAGATGAAATGTAAGAAGCAAACCCTTAGTCAGTGTCGTAGCTCCCCAATAAATGCACCAAGAGTGATGGATGGTGACTAGAATAAACGTCCCTTGTCGAGTTCTTAGAACAGTCAGTCCAGATCTTCTATACTGTCACAAAAGGCCTTGGCTCTGCAGTGGCTTCTTTGGGGTCTGCGTTTAATCACAAGTTTCTGGGACCTGACACCTCCAAGTACCTTTCATTCTGGTTTTCTTAATGTAGCACTAAATGTACCCAGTTTTAGGCATGCTGGGCCCCTCTGTATATAATTTGTACCTGAATTTTTATTTCTAAAAATTGTCCAGACTTTTTGGAAAGGCACAGTTGGTTTATAGACAGAGTTGTTGATCTTGACAGTCAGTCAGGTGATTTTGGCACTAATTTAGCACCTGCTGTGCTGAGCCCAGAAGAAGATGTAAAATGTCCGGCATATACATGTAGATTTATAAGTCACAATTGTGGGGATGTTATACCCTCAGAATTGTTGCAAGATAGGAGGACCTAAACAAACAGCCAGACAAAGCTGGATGACAGGTAGGGTGCAAGTTGGTGGAAGAAGGAGACATCACATGTGCCAAGCACTGACCGGGTTCAAGGCTCTGGCTAGATAATGGGATTGGTGGAGTTGGGGGACTGAATATATGGCACAGTCATCGTCCTTGAGGGCTTTTAGTTGGTAGAGCTGCAGACAAAGACCCCACGATCAGCGATCAGTACATAAGAGATTCAGAGTCAGTATGAGGGAGTGCAGACAGCTGGGGCTGGGAAGATTCCTTCAAGGAGCATTTATCTGACCTTGAAGGAGGGTGAAGTTGAGCAGATGGAGTTGGGGTTAGACGGTTAGGATCGCAGAGATATCAGGAGGTGGGGAGGAACTTGGTGCTGTTTTTGAAGGATGGGATGGATTCCTCTCAGCCTAGAGGATGAAAAGGGGGACGGAAAGAAAGCAAAAGCTGAGATGGAAGAAGGAGCCTGTTGGCTTCTGTGGAGGACAGAGGGAGCCCTGGAACATCCTGTTCATTCCATACTCTTCTCTACAATAGAACTTGCCTTGATGTCCCCACACTAAGCCCCACCCCCACGACTGAGAGCCAGTGTCTGCCATGATGCTGTGCCTCATGGTACCTGTCTCCCTGTAAGCCATTGTGTAAGCCCCATTCTCTTATCCCCATAATCTCACCTGTGTCCTCGCCACTGAAAGTTCTTTGGAGATGGGGACTTAGTCAGCCTGCCACAAGGCGTGACCTTTATAATGCTGCCTGGACTTGTGAGGACTGGAGAGCATTGAAGGAGCACAGAAATGGAAATGTGACGGTGCTCGTTAAGTGGGGTGAGTGGAGGTTCTAAGGAAGGAGTCCATCCGCTCATGAGGGTTTGGGATTATCCCTCTGGGTACCAGGGCAAGGTTGCCAAAATGCCTTCCTCTGCCCTGCAGATATTCTGCTTGGTTTGGTGCCGCTCAGGACCATGGGTGTGTGTGTGCGTGTGCGCATGTGTGTGTGTGTGTGTGCATGGGTGTGCGTGTGTGCATGTGTGTGTGTATGCATGGGTGTGTGCATGGATGTGTGTGCACCTTCTCTCTCACATAAAGGTGCACAGCCACCCCGCTGTGTCCCTTTCCACCAGTGGACGGTATTGTTACCCCCCCTTTGGCTTTCCCACCCCACCTGGGTGCCATGGGAGCAGCAGGGACTCGGATTCGCCCCTATATGGTCCGTGTGGAGGGTCATTCATACATGCTCATAAACGTCTGCCCTCGCCTGCTCTGTCCAGGGGTATTTTAGTGACGCCTGGAACACGTTTGACTCCCTCATCGTAATCGGCAGCATTATAGACGTGGCCCTCAGCGAAGCAGACGTGAGTATGCACCTGGCGTGGCCGCCACCTGTGTCCTCTCTCTCTGTCTGTGCATACTCTGCTCCCTGCCCTGCAGTGGCATCACCTGGACAAGTCACAGATCCCAGTCACTTGATCTGAAACTAGGATTTCCTAATGAGAGCTGTGGGCAAGAAGCCCTTCAGGGTAGGGCCTTAGCCCAGGGCCTTTTGTAGACACAAGTCACCTTTCGGAGGACAGGCCTTTTTGCGGCATTTACCCAGGTCACTAGTAGGCAAGGTAAGATAGGATGTCTCTAATTGTTTTCATTTGCTGTGTCAGAAGTGATACCCAAAGTGGCGTATCTATAACGTGTTTATTTTAGGGGGATGTTTCAAGTAGCCATGTGGCGTGGTGCTAGAATGTTCCCCTTTTATAACACTGTCCTTTTCTTCTTTTTCCCTGTGGTGCTTCCTCTCCTCTGTGGCTTCTGAATGCTTGCCCTAACAGCACTATTTCACTGATGCATGGAACACTTTTGATGCCTTAATTGTTGTTGGTAGCGTCGTTGATATTGCTATAACTGAAGTGAATGTAAGTAGCAAACTTTGTGTCCTATATCGTGGTTGTTTTCATTAAGTCTGATATAGAAGAGACCAGAGGCCCTGCCCATGAATCTCCACATACTTTAGAAATCCAGAAACAAATTTATTTTGAAAGACTAAGGATAATTTGTAGTCTTCTCTCCCTCACCCCATCTCTATCTCATTTCCCTGAAAAAGAGTGGGGAAGCCTATATAGAATTGCCATTTGGAACTAGAAGAGTATTTCAAAAGATCTGATTAAAGTTGTAAGGGCTGGGAGTTAATTGTGTGTGCCTGTGGATGTTGTCACTCACCAGCCGTGTGACCGTGAAAGTCATCCAAGTGCTGTGTGCCTCCATCTTTCCAGCTGTACTTGGAGTTAATGATGTGCACCCTCGTCCCCACGATGGTTCTGTGAGGGCACAGGCGGGAGGCCCCACAGCTATGCCCTGAGCGTGTGGTGGCTGCTGCTCGTGCCCTCACCTGTACCATGTCTGCTCTGAGTCTAACTAGTGAATGTCCCACGTCCAAAGAGTGACACCAGCTGGTAGAAGGCTACTTGGGGCCAGGGAAAAGAGGGCCAAGTGAGAACCAGGGAGAGGATGTCAGTACACCTTTGCTACATGCAGTAGACTCATTTGGGAGGGGAACAAGTGCAGTAGCAGCATTGTAGGCAGAGTGAACCCCTCTCCCTAGAAATGTTCTGAAAACCTCACCCCCTGCTAAATTAAGAAGTGTGAGAAAGGGAGCCCCATCTGCCTCCTAGCTCTCCTTGTGTCTGACCCATGCTAGACCAAAGGCCTCAGGCAGGTAGAAAGGCCCCTGTCTACCTGATCTCTTTCCAGTTCATCAGCAAGTCTTAGTGGGCATCCAGTGTGTGTGCCCAAGATGTGCAGAGCCTTTCGAGAGAATGGGCAGAGCACAGGGAGGGTCTGTGTTTGGTGTTGGCTTTTGCTCCACAGTGTCCAGCCCACCCCCTGCCCTTTATGCTCTGCCTGGTGGCATCTACAGGAGGAGTGAGGGTTATAAGGTCCATCCTGGTGCCCAGACAGCCTGCATCACACGAGGACTATGAAATCCCTTTATGCCACCTGCCTGGGGCCACGTCGATTCTGGCGTGTAAATAGTAAGACAGTCACCAGCCTGGAAATCCCAAGACCTGGCAGTTGCAGCCCTAGTTCCAAACTGACCTGGACTCCAGTTCCCTCATGGGCCAAGTGGGGTGCGTAACATCTACCCCCTTGCCTCGCAGATATGTTATAGTGATAAAATGATCTGAATACTTGTGAAAATGCTTGCTAAAAACCCCAAAGTTTTAGGGAGATACAAGGGTATTATTCTAAGTGTGGGTTATCCCTGTAATAAGTAAAATGGACTGTCAGACATGACCATGTCCATGAGGGTGTGGTTGAAGCTTCGTCACACCACACCGTGACAAGGCACTCAGATGGTGCTTTGTTAGACCTAGGTATGCACATCTTCTAACACCTAAAGCCCAGACATGTAAATTCTACTTGATGTGAAATTTTCCATGAAAATTGCCATTCATGATATATAAATAAGCTGGTGCTAATGGGAGAACGGCAGGTCCCTAACTGGGCAGCCCCGAGCTCTCTCCCAAGTTTATGGCTAGACATCTGCCGGCTTCATCATCTCACAACACAAACTGCTTACAGTTGACGTGGAGGTATATTTACATGAAAATTTTGGAACATACCCTTCTGAGAGTCAGAGACAGTTTATAATGGAAGCGAAACTACAATAAACTAGCAGCTCGGCAGGTCTCCCTGGACTGCTCAGTGCTTCAACCACTGTGCAGGTGGTGGGTGTAAACACTTAGCTTTTGGGCACCAGGATTTGGCCAAGGTCTGTCCACCTGGGGACACCCAGCTTTCTCACTCCTGGCCTGCCTGCTGGCTGGCAGGGGTGTAGCACCCATGTACTCAAGGACAGCATGCGCCTGGCTTCCTGGCTGCCTCACGTGTGCTGTGGGCTGGCCCTGCTCCTCCTGCTGCCCCTGTCTCCTATCGCCCAACTTGGCTCATTGGTGCCTCAGTGTTGCTGTGTTCACCTTGTACCAGTCAGGAAAGGGGCAGGTCTATGCTGAAGTTTCTAGTTAGCATTTGACATTAGGTATCTGAACAAGACAGGCTTTCAGGGGCCCCCTTCTTGGCATGCAATTAAACTTTCCAATCACACAGGCAGACTTTCCCAGAATGTGCTTTCAGTCAGTGACATTTTTCCTGGTCAGCTGTGGCCCAAGACCAAATATTCCTCAGTCATGGCAATGCTGGTTCCCCACCCTGGGCCAGCAGAACACCACCTTCAGAAATCTCAGTGTTTCCCTGCTCGGCCTTGGAACAGAGGGGATGCTCAAGGCCGCCTTCACATTTATTCAATCTTTTAACACACACGTGCTGGACATCCACCACTCACAGGCTTTGGGCTAGGCTGTGGGGAGGCACAAAGATTTAAAAAAAGACTCGGTATTCTTAGTCTCTGATGTAACTACATGACAGTGGGACTGCTGGTTCCGACACCCTCCACAAGCAGCTCCCCTGGGGAGCAGTGCACATCACATCCTCAGTGGCCTTGTCCCCTGAGCTGCGGGGTCAGCTGTCAGCTGAGCATGAACACCCTTGGTTCATTGTTGGCTGGTTGTAGCATCATTGTTTGCAATGTTTAATCTGCTGTGCTCTCTCTCCCCCAACTCTGTTGATCTTTCTTTTCTGTTGCCTAATTGATTTTCATGTTGGTTTTATTTTTAGAAAATTGTAGCGGCAAGTATATATATGCATATATACGGTGAAGTCGTTAAAGCAAAGCACTTCTAAAGACTGTGTGCTTGTTTCTGGCTCTCCACCTTTGGTTTTCACCACGCTTCACAGGACGTGCTAAGGATTGGTTGCAATCATCTGAATTGTTCCCCATCCCATATATTGTCGTCTCCTGCCTGAGGCCGTCTTGGTCAGTCACACTTGGCTCTGTGACTTGCCAACATAGTCTCCCAGAATGAATGATCTGGCTGAGAAACGATTGAATTCAGCCTGCGTTTGTATTCTTTGCGGAAACGTTTTGGGTAGTCCTTTGCATGGTCCTGCCTGCACGCACACCAGCCTGTTCCATACTACTGTCCCCCTCCCACCTCCCCACAGCCCGCTCCGTTCCTGGTTTGGCAGTGTTCATGGACTTGTCCCTATCACGTTTGGTCCTAACCTCACCAGGCTGCTAAAACGTCAATAATGACTGGTGGGCTCCCTCTTGCTCCCTCCCTCCTTGATGCCTATTTGTTCCTTGAATGATGACATGACCCAGCAACATATTGTCCCTAACCTGGGGATGGCTATCACTGACATTTGTCTATTCTCATTATCATTAGTGCCTGGGAGGCAAAATACTTGTTTAGAAGCCAAGTCTGCCTTATATTACTTACCTTGAAGGAGCAAGTAAAAAGTCATTAGGGAGCTCACTCTCAGAGACCCAGGAATGGTCCCTGCTTTTTCAGGTATACTGTTTGGACCAGGTGGCTGACGGTGGACCACTCATCTTCTTTTTCTGACCCCACACTAAGGTTGTGTAGTCCCCCACTTCATATGCGAGCCCTTTCCCAGGAGCCAGCTCAGCTAGGCACTGGTCGTGGACACAGACCCAGTGACCCCAAATAAAGAAGTCCTCCTTCCATAGGTGTTGCCTGCCAGCTCAGAAATAGTCAGAGGGATGCTCCCCCAAAAGACTGGCTTCTCCACAATGCCTTGGGTTACCTGGCCCAGCTGTTCTGGGATGCTGGTTTGCTTCCTATCTGAATTAGAAAACTGCTTCCTCTCAATTCTTCCAAGCACAGATAGAAATTAATACAGAAAATAAAATGGACTGATTTCGTTTGGGAACCTCATGGTCTTTTTGGCTTCCACAGTTTCAGGGGGCTGCCCCAGAGCATATGTGGTAAAAGCCTGCCTGAGAGCCCTGTAGGAAAAGGCTTGAGGGAAAATCAGGAAAGCCCCCACATTAGCAGAGCCCCAGGAATCTAAGGAGCCTTCTGACATGTAGTCCAGCCTTCTGAGGCTAAGGGGCTGTCTCCTGTAGGGTTCCCAGCTGAAGAATGTGACATCTTAGGGTGGGAAGGAACTGCTAAGCTTGTCTAAGCCCTGAGGTGACACTGGAATTCCCCCTATTAAAAACTGATTAGCAGCCCCTTGAAGCTGTCCTTGAAAGCCACCTAGTGAAGAGTCCTTCCCCAGTCTGGCGTCCTCTAGGGATGTCCAGCATAGCATAGCACACTGGCGTTCCAGCTCCTCCAGCTCCCTTCATGTTCAAGCCTCCTCCATCCCTTGTAAAGAAGATGGGAATGGGGTCTAATCTCTGTGTCTGCATCTGAGTATTGATTTCTCATCAACTCAAAAAGAACCCACTGCTCAGCCACAGCAGCCTGAATGGGCTTTTCTAGCAACCCCACTCTGTATGGCGACTCGAGACCTAAAGGGCATTAGCTAGTATGGGCTACCTGCTAACTACTTGGGCCAGCTTTACCCTGGTCCAGGACTGGAGTTCTCAGCTCTGGCAGCACATTTGAATCACCAAGGAGCTTTTAAAATTCCCAGCATGCAGCCTGGGTGTGGTGGCTCACGCCTGAATCCCAGCACTTTGGGAGGCCGAGGTAGGCAGATCACCTGAGGTCAGGAGTTGGAGACCAGTCTGGCCAACATGGCGAAATCTCATCTCTACTGAAAATACAAAAAAATTAGGCAGGCAAGGTGTTGGGCACCTGAAATCCCAGCTACTCATGAGGCTGAGGCAGAAGAATCACTGAAACCCTGTAGGCAGAGGTTGCAAGGAGCCAAGATCATGCCACTGCACTCCAGCCTGGGTGACAGAGGGAAACTCCACCTCAAAAAAATAATAATAAAATTCCCAACATGGAGACATGCCCCAGATCCATTAAGTAAGAATCTCTGGGGTGGGACCTGGACTTCAGAGATTTTGTTAAAGATCCCAGGTGCTTTTAGTGTGCAGGCTGGCATGAGAGCTGACCTGCCCTTTTCATTTGGCTGACATTTGTCATTTGGGCAAAGCCATCCTCAGGGTTCTTTAAATTTGTAAGATATTTTGGCAACTTGCACTGTCCCCCCAGAGCTGCTGGTTACATCCTCCCCTGAAGCAGCCCTCCCTGCCCAGTGGTGCGTGGGAGGGGAGGTGTCGCAGGCGCGTTGGAGGGCGCATGAAGTCTGGTGTGCTGTTTGCTCTTTCCTTCCTCCTGTGCATGTTGTGCTGCCCTGTCCCTTTACAAATGCTGTGTCCTCCTCCCTTTTGTTCTTTTAAACAAGAGAATATTCATGGTTTGAAGTTCATAGTCCAGAGGTTGTCACATTTCAGAGATATCAGTTGAAGAGATGTACACTTCGAAATTCAGTTCGGTTGCTGACTTTCACGAACCCTAAGGAAGGGGGACATGAATGGCCTATCAGACTTGAAGCAGAATAGGGAGAGGCACACAGGAGGGTCTAAGGCCAGACTGTGGTTAGGAGCGTCTTCCCTGACCAACAGGTGCCGCAGGGCTGATACATAAGTCGTGCATGTTTCAAAAGGGTAACTGTAGAGCCGTCTGTCTTGTGCACACTGCCTGGTCCCCTGAAATCAGGCAAGCAGAGGCGTGCATGCATGCACACTTAGCACACACACTCACCCCACACTCCAGCCAGACAGGCCAGAGTGGAGCCTTCCTGTGCACAGCCTTAGTGAGAATGACGTGGAAGACGATGAGAAGTTTAAAAAGTTAGTTCCTTCCTTTGTTAAGGTCTTAAGATGAAAAACATTATCTGTCCCTTGAAGGAAGTGGTATTTCTTTTGAGATGAGCTAATGGAAGAGGGAAATAAAAATAGCGGCCCTGGGTTCTTGATAAACCTGTTGCAGAGTTCCCATTCTGAGCATCCCAGGAGAAGCAAGGACCCATTTTAAACTCCGTCAAACCTGTTGATCTTGGGTTCACAGTCACGATGCTGATTTTCAGTTGTTCTGTAATGTGCTCCAACCCCTTATTTTCTGTGAATTTTGTAGAATTTCTCTTTGGTCTCAGGAGATAGCCCTTGATGCTAGAGAGGCTTCAGAACTGAGCTCTTCTTTCCCCGGATCCCCAGGGAGGAGGCCCTCGAGAAGTGCGCACATCCAGATGTGTGCACGTTTCTTAACTTTGCAGACAGACTGTACAGAAAGGCTCCTTGAAGTCCCTAACCAGAAGAGCCCCATTCCTCTCTGTCGGGGAAGAGAGGCCGGCACATGCTGGCTCTGGTTCCGCTTACTGTTGCTGTTGTATGTAAAGATGCCTCCTGGTGCTAGCTGGAGTTTGCTTCCAACTCTGCGTTCAGACACTTTCTGAATACTCGGAAAGTGTCAGGCACCATGCTGGGCATGGCATGGAATAAGGCAAGGCCCCTGCCCTCACTGGGAGTGGGAGTTGGCGGGGGGGGGCAGGTGAGCACCAGCCATCACAGATTCTATATCCTGGGGCCCAAAGAACAACAGCCCAGCCAGACCCTGGAGGAGGTGGAGCTGCTGAACCTCAGGAGAGCTGGTCCTCCACTGTTTCTTCCAAAGACTATATAGACCTGAATTTCCTCTTGTGTGAAAGCTATCTGAGCTGTGGGGTGGGCAGCGAGGGCTTGTGTAGGGAAGCCCACCTCTCTCCTCCTCACCCTGACTCAGTCTGTCCAGCTCCTCAGCAGCCCCACCAAAGAGTCTGTTGTCAGATGTACACTGCCCAGGCGTTTGGTCTCATGGGAACAGAGTGTGGTCCCAGGGAGTTTGCGGCCCACAGGCAGGCACCGCTGTTTGCCACGCTACTGGAGACATTCCGTTCTCTGGGGCTAGGGGGCGTGCTGCAGAGAGACTAGTTCCTGAGATCCATAGCCCTGACCAAGCCAAAAGAACTAGCCTCTCTGTGAGAAGCAGGGGCAGGCTCTGCATCTGTCTCTAGGGACAGTTGAGGTCTTGAGACACTGTTCTTACTGGATGCCTGTTAGCCTGGGCACAGCGTATCCTCGGACGTGAATTAGAAAGTGGTAGTGTGTCCGTGCCCACGTCCATGGCTGCCTGCCCTCAAGTCCAGCTCCAAGGAAAGCCACTGGTATTTTCTCAGGGAGGGAGCAGGTGTGTTGTCCAAAGACAGGAGGCATGCATTTTTTAAAAGGGGGAAATGCTGTCCAGAAACATTGACTCCTTCATGGTTCATTAATCCATTTTCAATCTTTGATTTCTTAAAGCCAACTGAAAGTGAAACTGTCCCTGTCCCAACTGCTACACCTGGGGTAAGATCAGCAACTAGTCCCCAGGGGCTGGGCCTTTTCCTTGAGTTTATTTGACCATGTCGAGTTTTCCACTGGTTTTTCTGTATTCTCCATGATTGTCCTTCCAGAACAGTGTCTGCAGTGGTTTGCATTCATCATCAGTGTCCAGTATTGTTGACCAGCCCAGCGTTCTCCTCTAACACAGTAGAACACGTGGACATGCATGTGCTGTGTGGATGCAGTTTCCCAAGCTCTGTGTTGTTAGCATGTAACTCTTCCTTTCATATCATGCTTTTTAAGATGAAAAGGCCCCAGAATCACATCTTCAGTTCTTACCTCTGTCACCTTTGCATCTGTTGCTGTTTTTCTGAAAGTGTTGCATGTTCTACTTTCCATTGGGTTTGACCTCTCCATGATAACCCTTCAGAACTCTGAAGAGAGCAATAGAATCTCCATCACCTTTTTCCGTCTTTTCCGAGTGATGCGATTGGTGAAGCTTCTCAGCAGGGGGGAAGGCATCCGGACATTGCTGTGGACTTTTATTAAGTCCTTTCAGGTAAGGGCCATGCTAAGGACTTCTCTCTTTGTCTTTGAAGATCATATGTAAGTCAATGATTGTGCCCGTCCTAGAGGTCCCAGGCTCCCCCTGTGTGGACTTAGGTCAATAGAACACATGGCATGCCGGAGAGACCCAACTTAGCATTTCTTGGGTAAATCCCATGAGATTACTTGCCTAAAGGAAACAGAAGAGAAAGCAGGAAGGACCCATAGCTGAGAGAGCTGCAGCATTTCCAAGACAGAGCGGTGTGGGGTCTACAGCCCTGCAGTGCTTCCGGGATGCCTGGCAGAGGTACATGAGAGTCCCAGGTCCCAGCAGACTGCCTGGAAGCCCAGCAGCCTCTCTCTGACGCCTTCTCCTCAGAAGGCTGCAGCAGTGCTGTCTGTTGACTGGTCTGGATAACATATCAGAAGCCACCACCTGGGCCAGCACGCCATCACTGGATTATCCAGTTCAGGATGTTCAGGCATAGGCCATGTCTCATTTGTCACCTCTGATTCTCCAGGCTGGTACAGCTCAGTTCTAGACTTTCCTGAGCAGAACCAGCTTTTCCTCTACCTGCCATTACCCTGCCTCAGATGTTCTAGCCTTCTGGACTGATTCCATTTGGAGAAGGAAGTATGGGAAATAGAGATTCTTATTAAAAGGTGCACCCAGGAAGGGAATTTGTGGATATGCACAAACATTAGAAAGTGAATCCTGCACCTTCATTTTTAAAAATTATTTGACTATTTTTCATTCAAAAGTAATAAATGTTTACAACAACAAATGAAGCTGTCCAAAGATAAATAAAGATAAAATTAAACTCGCCCCTCACCCACCCCTGGGATAACCAGTGTTACCAAGTAAGCGTTTGTCCCTAGTGGATGGAATTTTCACGGGTAAAAGGGAGAAGGGACAGCATTGGGGTGGGGGGCGATGCAGGCACTCCCAAGGGAAGTCACAGGTCCTGCTGGGGAGAGTGAGGCTGGAGGAAGGTAGAGTAGGGCCTCAGGCAGCTTAGCCTTGGACTTGCTAAGGCACAGAATCCTTGGCAGTTGTTATTCATGTAAAGTACCAAAACCTAGGAACAAACTGCTATAAAAAATAGATAATTCGGAGGTAATATCATCTCACTTTTTAAAGAAATTCTTCAAGATTCAATCTGCCACAGATAAGAAAGTCATGTTCCAGACTAGTGGTTCATACAAGCAGAAACTGTGCAAACAATAATCTTAAACATTTGGAAATCTACGAAGAAAATGTACATAGGTATGTTGAGGAAAGCCTGAAACAAACCCTGTGGGAGCCTGCTGAGCAGCCCAGCTGCGGGGAGGGCCTATTGTACCAGGCCAGGCTGGCAGGCACAGGTCCACAGCTGGCACAGGTCTGAAGGTGGCTGGGCACTTGTGAGCCACTGACTTTCTGATGAGCTCTCTCAGATAATAGAGAAAGCGGGTGTTTTAAGTGTGTGTTCCCAGAATTAAGCTTAACAATCTGGGCACCCTATGCATGTGGACGTGTTTGTCACATGTGATGAGGTAGACAGCAGTTGAGGAACATTCAATTAAAGGATGGGGGCTCTGTCAGACACTTGCATTTGGTGTTTCTGAAGAGAGCCACGCTTGGCGACCCCCCAGCTCACTCCTTTCCTTCCCTTGCCCTGCCCCCAAACTTAGCAGCCCTTTCAGAAGGTGTGCATCTTAAGGAAGGTATTTTGCATTCTACAGCAACAGCCACAAAGTGGCTCTTCCCCTCTGACCCAGTAATTCCACTCCTAAGACTTCACCCTAAGGAAATACTTCAGCAGAAGCAAGGTGATTTTGCATAAAGATACTCCTTTGCAACATTACCGACAGTACCATCCCCCAAAACATACCCACAAAACAAAGTGGAAGTACTCTAAGTGTCCAGTGTTCTGGAATGGTTTGATCAATTATGTTTTCACCTAAAAACTCCAGTAATGAATTTAGGAATTATCATGAGAGTGATGTGTCTGTGTTTAGGGTCAGGCTACAGGGTTGGTGACCACGGTGAGCCCATCCTGCCTCTATAATATTGTAACAGTGGGCGTGAGTGTGGATGGTGTCTTCAGGACTGAAGTAGTTGTGCAGTGCTGGGATTTGAACTGTTCTTCCTCGTGGTCAGGGTTCTTTCACTGTAACACGTGGAATGGAAAGGAAGCATGTAGCCTTTCATGGGTCTTCTCATGGGACAGCCAGCCGGTACTGAGCCCAGTGCCTTTTCTCTCCCAGGCACTCCCCTATGTGGCCCTCCTCATAGCCATGCTGTTCTTCATCTACGCGGTCATTGGCATGCAGGTAAGCTCCAGCCACCCCGCCCTCAGGGTCCCTTTCACTGGGTAGCCCCAAATCTGTAGCAAGATGTGCATTGACCAGGTAAAGCAGAAGCGCTGTGATTTTTTCAGCCAGACCCCTCTGCTGAAGCCATAGGAAGACACGAAAGACATGGCTGCTTGGGAGAGAACTCCAGGGGAGGCCCAGGCTCAGAAGAATGTAGAAAGCATAGAATGTGCTGAGAAAAGTTGCATTTCATGGCAGAAGAATTACGCTTTATCATAACAAAGTGAGATTCACTTGAAACTAAATATTTCCGGTTGCTAAGACTGAGGAAAGAAGCATGTGGCCCCTCATGGGTCTTTTCAGTCTGTGCTGAGCCATCGTGGGGACAGAAGGCTGGTGCTGAGCCAAATGCCTTTTGTGACCATTGTTGTACTTTAGTAGCTCACCTTTAAAAGGAGGCATGAAAATGGGCTCTTCTGTGACCCAAGCTGAGAGGCTGAGGCCTGTTTCCCAGTTCCTCCTGGGCGTGGGAAAGGGACCGTGCCTCCCAAACAGAGGAGCCCTAACACCAAGTGGGTGGTGGGATGGGTTGTGGATAGGAAGAAAATGTCCATAGGTATGTCGAGGAAAGCCTGAAACAAACCCTGATAACCCTGCCTCCCCCGGCAGAGTGGAGGGAGGCAGCCTCTAAGAGTGGAGGCAGTAGGAGAGCCCAGGTGCCTGCAGATCCCTGCTGGCAGGCTCCTTACGGATTCTCCACGTGTGCAGGTGCCATCTTTCAATAAAGGAGGGATGTAAGTGACAAAGAAATGAAGTGATTCTGTGATTCTAGGAGCAGAGAAATGGTAGTGCTTAAAAAAAAAAAAAAAAATCCTGAAAGCATAGAAGCATTGGCAGGTCTCTGGGAATCTTACCCAGAGTTATGAAACAAAAGTCAGCAAACTTGAGCCTCTGTGACTCAGCAGCACGTGGTTCTGTGTGCCCTGGAAGGTCTTTTATCACATATTTTCTCATATAAAAAAGAGCTGCCTCAGAACTGCAAACTGCATGACACACACCCCTCCGGATTCACCCAGCAAGCGTTTGTAAGCCTCTGCAGCCTTCTCTGGAATGTCAGACTGCTTCTAAGTCTCAAAAGTAAAAGTCTGTAGTACCCTCCCATTGCCCTGAAGGTAAAGCCCGCTATCCTGCTCGGGGTTCACAGCCCCTGCCTGTTGGCTCCTGCCCTTGCCTCCAGCCTGGTCTTTTATCTGTCTGCTCCTCACACATGTGATGTTCATTCCCTCGGTATCTATTCTGTCACCCTGCCCCTATGAGACACGGTGCTTCCTCCACTGGAAACACTCTTCACCTTTCTTAACACCTGATGTATCTTTCAGTTCTGAGTTTACATGTCACTTCCCCCTAGAGGTTCCCTGGCCCTGCCCCCCAGCCTTGGGTGGATGAGCCTGTCTCATGCTTCCTGTGTATCTGGACCACCCCAGTATCATCCTGGTGTTTGATGTTGCCTGTCTACCCTTGTGTCTCTCCCCCAGGGCAGGGGATCCTCGAACATGAGACTGTGCCCGTCTGGAGCACCATGTTCCCAATGTGTAACCCGCTGCCTGGCACATCGTTGTGCCTGGCAGATCTTTGTTGAATGAGTAAAGTGCCAGGTACCATGAGAAAACCTTAGTTGGTAAAGATCAAACCTGAGTTAGTTCTGAATTCACATATGGATTTTTTTTTTTTTTTTTTTTGCATGATGAAATCTATTCTGTTTTTCCTAAAACTTCTCCACCTAGATGTTTGGGAAAGTTGCCATGAGAGATAACAACCAGATCAATAGGAACAATAACTTCCAGACGTTTCCCCAGGCGGTGCTGCTGCTCTTCAGGTGACGGGACTGGCTGGTGTGGGCGGTGCTTCTGGGCAGGGATGTGAGTCTCCCGCTAGCTCTGGGTCCGGAGGAGGGACGGAGGACACAGGTTATTAAAGCAGTGTGCCTTTCCCAGTTGATTGTGATAGCTTTTTGTTTTTGTTTGTTTTGTATTCTTAAACACAGACCCTAGCATTTCAAACACAGGAATTTCACTGGATTGTTAAAACTGCTGTGGTAATCCTGATTGTGGTTGGCATAAGGTTTATTCATTTGGGAATTAGGCTACTTAGGACACAGGTAAAATTGTGGGATGTATGTTTACGCATGGAAGCATACACTAAACATGACTGGAAGACAGAAACATAGCAAAAACGTAGAAGCCTTTTGTATAGCCAGTGGGGAACATCCTAAGATGTATGATTTCACATTTTATAAGGTTGCTTTTAACCCCAGTTAATTAACTTTGTAAACAAGCTGCCCTCATAGAGAATTTTCTAGAGATCATGAAGTATTTCTAGTGACTCTAGTGACTGACTAACAAGTCATTTGCAAGTTAGGTGGTTTCTAACTCTGCCTTCAACAAAATTGAACATAGACTCAACTGCTTAAGTATTTTGGTCATTAAAAATAATTAATAGTCCGGGTACAGTGGCTCGTGCCTGTAATCCTAGCCCTTTGGGAGGCTGAGGTGAGTGGATCGCTTGAACTAAGGAGTTCGAGACTAGCCTAGGCAACACAGCAAAACCCTGACTCTACTAAAAATACAAAAATTAGCCAGATATGGTGGTGGGTGCCTGTAGTCCTAGCTACCGGAGAGGCTGAGCCCGGGAGGTCGAGGCTGCAGTAAGCCAAAATCACACCACTGCACTCCAGCCTGGGCAGAGCAAGACCCTGTCTCAAAAAATAACAACAACAATTAATGTTAATTATAATACAAATGTTTGAAGTAAATAAGACACAAAAACAAGCATCATTTATACAATTAGTACACTTGCATAAGATGATGGCTATAAATCAAAGGGAACTGCAGCAGAACCTCGGGTTACTGTGATAAGTTGCATGTGAAAATAAGTAGGAATTTCAGATTTTCATTAGCTCACATTGGATTTTCCCCAAATGACTAAGGTTTTGCTCTGTTAATGAGTTTTTCTCCCCTAAGTTCTAAGCTTTAAATTCCTTCTTTCCTCCACTAAAGCCCCTTTTTTCTTAATCTGAAAAAGGTGTGCGACAGGTGAGGCCTGGCAGGAGATCATGCTGGCCTGCCTCCCAGGGAAGCTCTGTGACCCTGAGTCAGATTACAATCCCGGGGAGGAGTATACATGTGGGAGCAACTTTGCCATTGTCTATTTCATCAGTTTTTACATGCTCTGTGCATTTCTGGTAAGTGCTCAAAGTAGCTACCCCTCTCAGTGTACAGATGCTTATGTAGCATTCAGTGTTCACACCAGTGACCTTGCCCTGTCCCATCGTTCAAGGACAGTTGATGTGGGTGAGCACTCTGGACTCCACTTGGCAGTTGAGGGCTTTTGTTTAACCAGGCACGTGTCACTGCTGCCACCTTTGTAAGCAGAGATTTGGTGCTCACTAATAGGCTTGGAGCAATTACCAACCACCTTAGCTTCTTAGGGCTCCTTTCTAAAATGTCTAAGCCAGTGTGTATGTTGGTGACTTAAGAGTGTGAATTATTTGGTGATAATGAAATTATAAAACTGCAATGTGTTTCAGAAGGCCTGCCTTCCCCAGGAGTTTTTGAAAGCCGTTCCAGAAAGCTAGAACCCCACTCTTTCCTTAAACATTCTCCAAATAGAAAGTTTTTACAATGTCTCTTGGAGACTTGGGTTCCCATGTTTCATTCCATGTAATTAGAAGGCCTATGCTAAGTTCTAACCCTATCCAGCTGCAGCTGAAGTTCTTCCCTTCTGATTTGCTTTTTCAGATCATCAATCTATTTGTGGCTGTCATCATGGATAATTTTGACTATCTGACCCGGGACTGGTCTATTTTGGGGCCTCACCATTTAGATGAATTCAAAAGAATATGGTCAGAATATGACCCTGAGGCAAAGTAGGTTGAAAAAGATGCGCTTTGGTGTGTGTGGGTGGATTTTGGAATGTCAGCTGTGGTTTTTGTGGAGTGGACTGAAAGTTTGGGCCAGCTGGTACTGTTCCTGGACCTTGTGTTCTATTTTACTTCCAGGGGAAGGATCAAACACCTTGATGTGGTCACTCTGCTTCGACGCATCCAGCCTCCCCTGGGGTTTGGGAAGTTATGTCCACACAGAGTAGCGTGCAAGGTGAGCGTCCTGTGTGCATGTCTGACAGCCTCTTGTAGACGTTCCCTTCATTTAACAGACACTTGGTAAGTGACACGGCCAGGCCTTTGTCAGGTGCTGGGGATGCAGAGATGAATAATACATGGTTCCTACCTCTGGAGAATGCTCAGATTTATAACTTTTTGAACACCCTGTCAGGAACCATCAGAAGAGGAAGGGAATTCTGTAATTTGTCATTGCATGGATGGTGGGGAAGGCGACATTTCAGTCAAGTTCAGAAGGAACATAGGAGTTTGTCAGAGGGAGGAAAGGCTCAGAAGGAGGCAGGAGAATGGACGGAATGGCAAAGGGTGAGTCACTGGGTCACCCTTGGGCTAGGACGCAAGAGGAAGTGCCAGAAGGCCCCAGGCACAAGCTGAGCCTTCTCTGGCCTGCTGAGGCCCAGGAGAATGGGGAAGAAACACGAATTTCAGGTTTCTGTGTTAGGAAGGTGACTGTTGGCAATGGAGAAGTAGACCTGAGGCAGGAGGACCAACCAGGAGACCCAGAACAAAGGCAGCAGAAGTGGGAAGAGAGAGGAGTGGTCGCTCCGAGATCCACTTAGGACAAGGACTCAGTGGCCTGGGTGAGGGGAGTGGGAGTGTGAGGAGAACGCCTCTCCCAGCCTTAGCAGCGGGGGACACAGTGCTATGTGTTCCACACGTCCCCTCTGCTGCAGAGCTTTGTGGCCATCACAGGAGATGGGTCCGTTTTCTGGCACACCAGGCCCTGGTCTCTCAGGGATGGACCCAGGTCTCCCATTGCAACCCATTTCTGTGTTTCCATGCCAGAGCATGCTCTCAGGGACCCTCAATGAGACTTTTCCTTCCACAGAGCTCACAGTGCAGCACTTTACATTTGTTGTAGCAACAGAAAAGGGTTTCTGTTTTTTCAAGGAGAAATACAGGATTTGCCTCTTGAAACTCTGCCTTTATAGACATTCATCCAGCCTACATAGCAACTAGTTCTTGTTCCTCGTGGATCCAAGGAGATCCTGGGGTCAGGTGTTTTACCACTCCAGCGTGCTGAGCCAGATCTAGACAGAAACCAAGGTAGCAAAACAGAGTCTAAAATGTGTTTCAGACTCTCAAAGAAATGCCCTGAGCCAAACTCATGTCCCATGCCCTGAAAATCCAGAAAGCCCTATAGGCAAGTCTGTAGGGTGCTTGCCTCTCCTGAGGCCGGAGTCTGGAGATAGAAACAGAGGTTGACATTTTTTTTTTTCCCATAAACTTCCCAGTACTAGCCTCTTTTCTGCTTTCCAAGAACAGTATGGGATCCAGCTCGCTAATGTCGTCTCGTGTGTAAATTTCCAGACTCTTTTACACAGAGCTTTCAGGTGTCCTTGAGGCACAGTCATCCATTTTGCTGACGCGGGAACTTGCCAGGAAAAGTGAACAAATGTCCCGGGTTCCTTGGCTGCCTGTGCTGGTTTGGAGAGGGGGCTGGGGGTTGGAAGGAGGACTAGGAATTTGGGTGGGATGGACTATGCAGACACAAGATTCCGATACATCAATACGGAAGAGAAAAAATCTTTTTCTTTTGGAACATGAAGTTTTTCAGTATTATCAACATTACCATTTATTTAGTGCTTGCCATGTGCCTGACACAAAACTCTTTGTGTCTATGAGTCCTTTAACCCTTGCAAGGTCCCATCCATTGGGCATGTCATCAGCATTTACAGGTTGAAGTGACTGGGGCCCAGAGAGGGTGTCCCTCACCCACATCCCCTCCAACTCTCATTGCTGGTGCTAAAGGGATCATGAGATAGAAGAGGAGTGGGGAGCGTGGATCCTGCTCTGAAAGACCAAACCCTGGGAGAAGCCATGCAGATTCATGCAAAATGCTACAAGATGTACATAATGGTCTCACTAGGAAGGTTCCTTGAAGGGAATAGTAGTGGATCCTGTTGGTTGAGAACCTAAGTTCCAGGCCCTGTGCCTGGCCCACTGTGATTTACTTCCTTTAACTCTCACAACAGCTTTAAAAATGTGCCTGAGCTGGGCACGGTGGCTCACACCTGTAATCCCAACATTTTGGGAGGCAGGAGGATCCCTTGAGGCCAGAAGTTCAAGACCAGCCTGGGAAACAAAGCAAGCCCTCATCTCTAAACAAACGAACAAACAAACAAATGTGCCTGAAATGGAGATCTGACCCTAAGACCTCCATTGGGGTTGATGAAAAAAGGAGAAGACTGCTTGAACAGTGAGGTTTCACTGTTTAAAAAACAAAATACATCATCTGCATGTTAGCGTTTATATTTCATGACTAAACCTTTGATCTTTGTCATCCCAGAGTCCCCTAAATGATAGATTGTATTAATCAGGGTTCTCCAGAGAAAGAGAGCCAGTAGGATGGATATGGAGATGTATATGTGTATATGTGTGTGTGTGTGTGTGTGTGTGTGTGTGTGTGTGTGTGTATTTGTGTATGTATACGTATATATACGCATATGTATATATACATATACACACACACAGGTTTGTCATGGGGAATTGGCTTATGTGATCATGAAAGCTGGGAAGTTCCATGGTCTGCCATCTGCAAGCTGGAGCCCCGGGGACCTGGTGGTGGTGTCCAATCTGAGTCTGCAGTCCTGAGAACCAGGGGAGCCCATAGTGTAAGCCTCGGTTGAAGGCAGGAAAAGACTGGTGTCCCAGCTCAATCAGGCTGGCAGAGAGAGAATTAAATCTTCCCCCGCCTTTTTGTTCTCTGTGGGCCCTCAACAACAGGATGAGGCCCACCCACATTGGGGAGGGCATTGCTTTACTTACTCTACTCTACCAATTCACATGGTAATCTCATCTGGAAACATCCTCACAGACATACCCAGAAATCATGCTTAACCAACTGGGCATCTCATGGCCCAGTCAGCTTGACACATAAATTAACCATCATATGAGTAACCCCCAAGTGGCTGTTGAATTGAATTGAGGGTTAACTAGAAAAGAGAAGAGTGATAAGCGGAAAATAAAGATCCATCAGGATATGACTGTGATCACTCATTTGCCCTCTACAAAGAAATTTTCTTTTCTGTTTACAGAGATTAGTTGCCATGAACATGCCTCTCAACAGTGACGGGACAGTCATGTTTAATGCGACCTTGTTCGCCTTGGTTCGAACGGCTCTTAAGATCAAGACCGAAGGTGAGCATTCCCTGGCAGCAAGACAAGATGGTAGGAAAGGAAAGAGATATCACATCCCACCTTGCCTTCCTAATCTAGGCCTTTTCTTGGCCAAGGGGAGGCCCTGGCGAAGGGGCTGGGTAGAATGGGGATGTCCATGCTGGGTTGACTGGCTGGCCCCTGCCTCCTGCCTCCTCATTCTTTCTCTCCTTCCTTTATGCTTCACTCTGTCCCAGAATGTTTTGAGTTGACTCATACCACTGCTTACTACATAGCAGGGGAAACAGGTAAGGTGTCAGAGCAGAGATGGAGCCATCACAAATGAACTCAGAGCCATTCCTTACTAGTTACATGACCTACACTAAGGGATTTCACTGGTCTGAGCTGTAGTTTCTTTCTCCATAAAAAGGAAATAAATACAGGGATGTCCAGGAAGTCCTGAGAATGAAATGAGATGATGTCTACAAAAGCTCCTCTGCAGTGCCTAGCACATAGTCAGCACTTGGGAAATATGGTGGGATCAGCATCTTCCCAGCTAAGAGACCAACCAGCCCAGAATGGCCTTCACAGCCACACTCAGCCCTGGTCAAATCCTGGCAAAACAGGCACTAGAGTGTGGCCATTGGAGCTGGCTCAGTGGTGACCTCAGAGGTGGAATGGAAAGCAGATTGCAGCAGGTTGAGGAGTGACCAGGAGGTGTGGGAGGTGGGAGGTGTAGACCTCAAGGGGAGCTGATTCGCTGAGGCACTAGTGGAGGAGAGGGAAGAGGAGGCAGCGAGGGACCCATGCTGAGTGCAGGCAGGTGACTTCTTCCAACCCTGGAGCCCAGGTAGCCTCGGTCCAACAAAGCCAGCCTCTTCCAGCCTAACAGGGCCCCTTTGTAGCATGCTTGCCTGTACCTGGCCCCAGGCCAGCATTCTTAGGGGTTCTAGAAGGCAGAATGGTCTTCCATGCTGACATGTTAGTTGAAAAAGTCAAGCGTCAGCTCATAATAAAAGGCCAAGTTTATGTTGTACGGAGGAGTACATATCGTAGGAATTGAGAGTCTTATTTGGGTGAAATTTAGGCTGGATCTTCAAGGAAGGAGGTACGATTTGAAACGACCAGTGAAAGAGCGGAAGGCAAAGGCATTCTGGGCTGGAAACTGGAAAGCAAAGAGTAGGTCCTGGCTGTGGGAGGGTAGGATGGAATCAGAGTGGGACAGGCCATGAATTACAGGGCGAACCATGTTTGTTCCCTTAGTGGAGGGACTTCCCACAGGGAAGGGGTGATTACTATTGCTGAATATAGGAAGTGTGCTTGCCCCTGACTGGGGTGAGCCCGGCGTGAGGGGAGAGGCCGGCGTGAGGGGAGAGGCCGGCGTGAGG